GTGTGTGTGTGTGTGTGTGTGTGTGTGTGTGTGTGTGTGTGTGTGTGTGTGTGTGTGTGTGTGTGTGTGTGTGTGTGGGTGCTTGGGCGTGTGGGTGTGTCTGTGTGCGGGTGTGTGGGTGTGCGGCTGTGGGTGTGGATGGGTGGGTGGGTGGACGGGCGGGCGGGTGAGTGGGTGTGTAAGTGGGTACTTGTTGAGCATGTTGCTGCTTGTAGGGCAGGTGGCATGCACGGACCTCACGCAAAATGGATGGATATGCCTGTGCATCACTTATGAAGTCTCGCCTGTGCAGCCGCTATGAACATTGCAGAAGAATCTTGAGCATTTCACATGGGAGATTCACTTGTTCAGCAGCATTTCTGAGCATTTGCTTGCGCAGCATCCCTGAACATGGGGTATCTAGCTGTGCAGCATTTGAATGTCAAACTCTTGCCTGTGCAGAACTTTCGAGCAGTGCGCGTACGCATGCGCGTACGCGTGTCTGTGTGTCTCTGTGTCTGTGCGTCTGTGCGTCTGTGCGTCTGTGCGTCTGTGCGTCTGTGCGTCTGTGCGTGTGTGCGTCTGTGCGTCTGTGCGTCTGTGCGTGTCTGTGCGTCTGTGTGTCTGTGTGTGTTGTGTCTGTCTGTCTGTGCGTCTGTGCGTCTGTGCGGTCTGTGCGTCTGTGCGGTCTGTGCGTCTGTGCGTCTGTGTTCTGGGTCTCTGTGTGTTTGTGTCTCTGTGTGTTTGTGTGTCTGTGTGCTTGTGTGCTTGTGTGCTTGTGTGCTTGTGTTCTTTTGTGCTTGTGTGCTTGTGTGCTTGTGTGCTTGTCTGCTTGTGTGTTTGTGTGTTTGTGTGTTTGTGTGTTTGTGTCCTTGTGCGTTTGTGTCCTTGTGCGTTTGTGTCCTTGTGCGTGCGCGCGAGCGCTCGAGCGTGCGAGCGCGCGAGCGTGTGCGCGAGTGCGCGTGTGCACATGTGCGCGTGTGCGGGTGTTCGGGAGTGCGGGTGCGCAGGTGTGCGTGTGTGCGGGTGTGCGGGCGTGCGTGTATGCATGCGCACGTGCGTGTGCGTGCGTGCGCGCGCGCGTGCGTGTGCGCGCGTGGGTGGTCTGTTCGCGTGTGCGCGTGTGCGGTACGTCTCCTCTTTAGGGAGCTTTCACACACCCTTGATGCAAGCTCGGCCAAGGCACAGAGGTCTCCGCGGGGGCAGGTCCCGGCAGTACTGAACTCCTGGATGTGAGCACCGTAAAGAAGCATGGGGTTCGGGGCTGCCTGCCTGGTTTAAGGTTTGTAAAACTCTGGTCCGCACTGGCTTCAGGTTTGCAAAGGATTCCTTCAAAACCCCAAACCCCCAAAGCCCTGAACCCCAGGGCCGTGTGTTGAGGAGGAGGAGACAAGCTGCCAAGTCGCCCTGCAGAGCCTGGTCTTGTAGTTGTACCGTTGCTTCTCCTCTGCACTCACGAAATCACTAAATTGCATTTTAAAACAGGCAATGTGCAGCAAGCGCACGTGTGGAAGCTTGAAGCCTGTGGCCGAAACCCTAAGCCTCTAAACACCTCAACGGCAAACCCTGAACCGCAGAATGTCTGCAAAAGCTGTGCATCCCAAAAGAACTGAAAGGGGAGAAAAAAACAATCTGAACGGAGGGATTTGCCGCCCTGCCCCCCCCAAACAAAAAAACAAACAAACTCTTTCAAGTCCAACAGGGGCGACCACGCACAAAGAGAACAGAACCCCGGCGCATTCACAGCAAGCCTGACAAGACAGGAAGCAAGTTCGCTTCAGGATAAAGCTTCGGCATGAACACGAGAGTCATGCTTCTCCCCTCAGTTATTCTTCGGGACTGACATAGCACATCTAGCTGGAGCTGTGTCCCGCCTCTTTCGTGTACCCGGCCGGCTGCATTTGGTTCAAGGTCTGTGCCCGCGAACATGCAGCGGGTGCAGATTTTTGATCAGAAAGGGGCAGGGGCTATGCGGAGGCTACTTTGCATACAGGTGCTACCTGTCATATGTATATATATATATATATATACATATATATAGATTGATCTATATATATATATATATATATATACTTACTTCGAACGTAACATCCATCACCCTTAAGCCTGAGCAAACGGAGCACGGTAGGGAATTGGGCACTCTGTGGGAATATTCCACGGGATTCTCTGCTATGGGATTCTCTGGCAGAAGGCGCGGAGAGCTGAGCCACAAAAGGAAGCCACAATTAGAGTAATTAGAGCAGAGGAGGATGAGGCAACAAAAACCGAAAAAGCAAGCTCTCAGAGTCTGGAGGAAGCTCGGCACTCTCCGCACCTGCTGCACCTGTCCCGGCTTTTGGAGCTCCGACTCGCCATGGGCAAAGGTGCCTCGGCGAGGGGCGCTGTATTTGGATGTTGTTTTTGGGGTTGCAACTTTGTTGAGTCATCCCTCTAAGGCTCTTGTTTTTGTTCTGTTTAGTGGAGCACGTCGTCTGGAGGCTCGAGGATCCTTCAGGTGCTCTTCAAAGGGTCTGGCTGTCCTGAAAACTGAAAACTGGCCATGTGCTTGTCAGGGACAGCTGTCTCCGCGAGGGCAGTTGCCCTGGGCAAAGTCCTGGCAGACGCCGAGACATGCCTACGCCCTCCAACCAGGACTGCTCGAGTGTACTCTGGGCTTGGGGCGTTCCAGCGGAAACTCGAATATTAACATTCGGCAGCTTGCAGTGCAACGCATGAGGATTGGGAGTCGAGGACTTGCCGTGCTCGTTTTGTTTCTTGCAGGTTTGCCGTGTTTTTTTATCGGGTTCGGACCAGTTAGGTCCGGAATAAGGTTCGTGCCAGGAAGCGAAGCTTGTGCAGGAATCATGCTGCGGGGACTGCAGATTGGACTCTTTGAACTGTCAGCAAAAAGACTTGGGTTGGGAAGCTATCAACTTTCGGCACACAAAGCAGCGCTGTCCCGGCAGAGTGCTGTCTTGAAGTTGAAGAGCTGGATTTCCTTTCGAGGTGATGATAAGACTGTTCTAACTCTGCTCCGATGTTCCTAGGACCTCAGCATTCTTTGCTCGACTCTCATAAGGCCTCCTTCGTCCTGACTATCCAACCGTCGGGGAAGGAGACCTCCCACCTCACAGGCAAACATGGGGCCAAATGCGAACATACGTCAGGGGGGGCACTCTCCGTTCGGGGACAGGGGGGGGGGCACTGAGAGTTTGCCCCAAGGTTTGCTCGCAACGTCCTCGGCTTAATTCACCCCCCCAACTTGCGACGAACTGGGGCCCACACGGATCCTCGTGCGCGAAGTTGCACATCTCACCCAACGCACCTCTGGAACTTCTCCCAACAAAGCAACAAAGAGAGCATTATCTCTTCTCTCTCTGTGCATTTCTCCCAACAACCTTAGGCTTAAGGGTGCCCTCTCGTAGGTGCTACTTGGAGATGAAAAGCCAAGTTACGGGATCTAGAACGGTTCTCGCTTTTGGGCCCTTGAAATGGTCTTGGAGTGCCCTTGGCACTCGCGGGGGTTGCTCTTGAAGTGGTCTTACGCTGTCTGGGGTCTTCGCCGGCATAGCAGATGGACATACGCACATCAAGTCGCATCACATCATGTCACATCAGATCATATCAGCTCACATCAGGTCGCCTCAGGTCACCTGCAACCATACGAGTACATTTGCTTTATCTCTTTGCCCGAGCGTCAGTAGCCACGCGCGAAGTGCCGGCAGGGCTTCCGATCACCACTGTAACCATTCCTTGGAAGCTCGAAGCGACATGTTTACCACGGCGGCTTCTGGGGCTTCTGGCTTATGAGGCTGACACTGGTCCCCATGTTCCTGGACGTCTTAGAGTCATGCAGCACTGGAGCCGGAATTGTACGGGATCACATGCAACATCACCCCTGACTTCCGGGTCAACCCACGAACCCCGTGTCTGGCCATGTGTGTGTGTGGGCTATGATGAAAACATTGAGGTCGCACAGAATTGGTCAGAACGGATGTACTGTGAGCCCTGCTTTGGACGCACAAAAGTGCAACTGCTGCAACAAGCCTAGGACCAAACAACCTGAAGCACAGCGAAGCACAGCCTCAAAAGGCGCTTTGTCAGCCGGAGGCTCTGCCAGCTTTGCCAACCAGCGGCCTGCATCCCATTTCCGCCTTTCGGCCAGCCATTCTGCCAACCCTGCACACCAATCATCAGGACGTTGCTTGTCGAGGTTCGGTGCAGCCCTAGACAGGCTGGAGGTACAGTGGCTAAGGTAACTTCAAACTTTGAAATCTAACATCTTGAAAATTTAGAGCATTCCTGCCTCTTGGCTGAATGGCTCCTGCCTGGGCGATGTCTGGAAGTGGAGCGCAGATGCGCAACTAGGACTACACTACAGTCGGCAGGCGCCCGGCCGGCAGCAGGAGAAAGAAATCAAATACACCTTGCAATCCTTGAGAATCCAGGACTCCTGACACCGCACTTCACCCGAGGCACTTCCAGCTGCCGCCAGAAGATGTGGACTGGGGTGTGCCAAGCTCGTGCTCCCCTTGCCAGACTTTCGGATGTCCAGGCCACAAAATGAGTCCATATGAGGTTTACAAGAGCCTCAAGAGCCTCAGGGCACGACTTTGGGGCTTCATTCAGAATGATCAGAATGCTTTCAGGCTGTTGAACGGGGCCTTGGCCTACAACCAACAGCACACAAGGCCTGCGATCATGAACCCGACAACGCGACAGGCTCAAGTCAGCGACTTTCAGATACTTTCAGCCACTCCCACTCGGGCGCATTCGGCTGTTACACTGAACCTGACTCATGGCAGAAGCTGCAGCCAAGCAGCCGTGGGCGAAGGTGCACACATTCCGGCTGCAGTACCCATTCATGTAATGGATACCTCAAGCGAAATCTCAAAAAATTGCCTCTCTTAGCGCGAACTCGCTGCTAGGGAGATCTGGAACTTGAGAAGGAGGCATTTCTTGGGCATCCCTGGCGCGTGCTGTTGTTGCGTCGAATGAAGCTCTTGCAAAAAAAGGGAACCTGCTTTGACAAATCCCTCCCAGAGGTACGGGGTTTCCGGGGAGAAAGAAACTGAAACGTATGGTTCAGGATGCATCCCTGATACAGGGCCCGCCGCGGTGCCAGAACTTTGAGCTTTTGCAGCCGCAACTCAAGGTCGAAGAATGTTGGGGCAACAAATAGCAGCGTGTCCCCGAGATATGACTCCTCCCCCTTCAAAAGGGATGAGCCGCACTCCCCATTGAACTTCTACATATCACGAAAAGAATCACTGCCCACTCATGTCGCAACTGTCGTTTCGCATACCTAAGGCCGAAGAAAAGCTTGGCTCTTGTTCGTGTTCGATGTTGTATTCGAATGCGTCCTGTGCCCTGGAATGCGATGCATAAGGGCAGCCAAGTTGCAAAGCTTCGTCTTCAAGTATGTGCGCTGGGTGGAGGTGGCTGGCATTGTACCCGCTGCTGGCACAGCATCCGTGGCTGGCTCGGCAGGCGCAGCAAGCGCAGCAGGCGCGGCAGGCGCGGCAGGCGCCGCTGGCGCGGCTGGCGCGGCTGGGGCGGCTGGCGCGGAGCCTGCCGGAGCCTTGCACGAACTGACTTTGGACACTGGATCTGGGGCTTCCAACCCCGACCGCCGACGCATGAAAAGCTGATCATGTCATAAAGCTGTAGGCTCGTACTGTAGGCTCTGCAATGCTTCCAGACACATGAACTCTCCACTATCGCTGCAGACCGCTGCAGACCCCGTCCTGAGGATCGACGGGTGCATTGATTCCTGGCGGCATTCTGCAGTTGGACTCTGGAGCGGATTCGGGGCTGAAAGAAAGCTGGACCTGGAGAAAGCAGGCTGCGGGCGGCTGCGGGACTCACTCGGAAATCGCCCAAAACGCTATCGACAAGGTCGCCTTGGCCTTGACTTCTTCTGTTCGGCGGGAGCACCACTTTGCCTGCGGATGCAGTTGGAGTACATCTCCAGAAACGATGCAATGGACTGTACAGTTGCACTCGAACCACTGGGCCAGTCCCATCTTGACCACATCCTGGAAAAGAACTCAAAACCATCACCCGCCTTGACCACGTTGCGGCGGCGGCTGCCGCAAGGTCGGCTCTAGGGGCGGTGGCGCCACACCCATCGTGGAGATCGGTGTCATGAGCGGTGGTGAAAATGCTGGTGCCCCGAACGTTGCCATCGGCGCCATCGGGGCCATGAACGGCTGTGCCATGAATGCCGGTGCCACGAACGCCTGCGCCGCAAACGGATCCGCGAACGCTGGCTCCGGGTCGCCCAGGCCAACCACTTGGGCCGGGTCGTGGAGGAAGTCTCAGAAATACGGAGTGGATTTGCAAGTTTTCGGTTATTGAAAGTCTGTGGATAGCCCTGTCTAGAAGTCTTACAGAGCACCTAGCATCGCAATATGCCTTGCAGTAACACAGGCGCGTAGGGCCGTTCTGGGGTTGAATCCTCACATCTTTGTTCAGCATGCGGAACTTTCCAAGAAATTGAGACCATGTCGGCCATTCCCTTTCAGTTCCAGGTACCTCACCCGAAGTCGACACGGGCCGATGTCTAGGGCCCCGCGCTGCACTCGTCGCCCAGTTGACAGAAGCCGCGCGCATAGTGCCGGCACAGCACGGTCTTGGGCCGCTTCGCAGAAGGCCCATCCCTGCCAAGAGCCCAAGCCAAACATGTGGCACGGCATGCATCGCGTGTGCTGTACTGCAGACGACGATTGACAGGCACATCTGACACCGGGCCCATCCAAAGACCGAGAGTCTACACACGACGCTTCTTTGCCAAGGCACCAGGTATTCGTGCGCTTGCGCATGGGATCGGAGCCTGTCAGGGCTGGGCCACTCTGGGCCACTGGGCCGCTGCAATCTGGGAGAGGGTTCTTGAAGTCTTGAAGTCCCCTCGCGCATTTCAGGGGGCAGAGGCCACCTCCTCCAAAGAGCCCAATGGCAGCTTCATTTCATTCCAGCAGAGTCGATTTCCCCACAGCTTAAAGAAATGCTTCAGACTCTGCTGACAACTCTGATGCTTGTCACAACAAGGAGAACTCTGCATGGGGAGCCCGGCTCCAGGCTTCTTGCCCGGGATGCGCTGCATCCTCAGCTCTGAGGGGCTTTTGAAGATTTTTTTTAGAGGAAGTTGTATGCATTCTCCGAACAATCAGAGAAAACGATCCAACATGAGTGCAAACAAAGGGCTCGGCCTGACTTCACTTCTCTAGGATACATCCGCCGAACGCTACATACCAACTTCATCACAGCTACCAGGACATTGTTTCAGAACTACGCTCGCAGGCAGCAGGCCTTTTTTTCTGCCTCTCAGGTCGGAGAAGCGCTGGACGGAATAGTCGGAATAGTGCTTCTGGAAGAATTGGAGCCGAGGGCCCCCAGGAAATGTATGCGCAGTCTCGGAAACATGCCCGATAACATCATCCACTTTGAAGCGGTCGCCGACCAGCAACTTCAAGCTTGTCCCTTATCGTAGTAGCCACTTGCTGAACGATGCTCTTGAAAACCCTGCCGAAGCAGTGAAAGCTTGGCCCTCTCAGTGCCATAGGCACAGACGGCCCAAGCTGATGCTCGCAACCTTTAGCCACACACAGCTTGGAGCACAGGCGTTCTGCCTTTGATGGCGTAAGCAGAGTGGACATTGACCATATCTTCTCCAAGCATCTTGCCATCAAGCCAATATCGCACAAAGACCTGCTTGAGGCTGCTCTGTTGTGAGACGACCCCTCGAGGCGCAAGAATTGCGGACTCGCCAGGGTTCAAGAGCACAACCTTTTCTGCGCACCAAGTCACCGCATCCGTGCCGTCGTAGACTCCCACTTGGAGAGGCTGCTCAAAGCGATCAGTGACGAAGACCGTGGTTATGCTACGTGTCCCAGGAGGGCCATCAAACATGCTGATTGCAAAGGCAAGACCCTTCACGCACATGGAGATGATGAAGGGTGCTGGGTTCAGAGTGAAGCACATGGCAACGTCGCAGACAAAGCCGACCCCTTCCGCCAAAAGGATCGCCCACTTCTTGGGGTTCTTGGAGGCCCGCACAATTCCACAACAAGCATAATGATGTTCTTCAAGTCCAGGATTACCATGATCATGATGACAGGCAGCATGGCCTTCCACCATGGGTTTGAATCAACCATGAACTCCAAGATGAGGAGAATAATGACACACACCATGCGCACAAGGCTAGAAAGTCCCAGTTGTGGTCTCCACCGTAGCTAACTGCGGACACCAAACGATTGATGAACTTACCAAGCTGCGTAACAGCGTTGAGAAAGGCGAGGATTTCCTGCCACCGGCTTTCCCTTGAGCTTGTGGGCATTCACCGCAATGGTATCTGCACTGCTTTTCAGCTGACTAGGCAAAGCGGACCAGGCAATCTTTTCGCCCTTCCGCAAAGACTTCCCTGCCTCCCTGCAGATCACAAACATCCTGGAACCTGCCACTGCAAATTGGGCCACTGCCATCGCCCCGTACTGTTTGCTTGGCCGTCATTGGTTGCAACCGTTGCAACCTGCATATCGTTGTCCGGCAAGTCAATCTCCTTGTCACTGCTTTGTGAATGGCTACTTGGCGGCAGCGGCTCACCGTCCCACTGACTTGCATTGGCTTTGAAAACGTGATTGTATCCTAGGCGCTGCCTGGGAATGTTGAGGCACGTGGTTTGCCACTTGGGGGTAGGCTCACATGGTGAGCCGTGGCCTTCAACGCTTTGTACAATCCGCCGCCTGCTCCAACAGAACTTCCTGACCTGCCGGCCTGTCTGTGACCTTCCAGCAATAAAGTCTCTTCTCAAGTTGCACGCAAGTATGCGCGCCGTTGAGGAATGTGCCAGCAGAGCTGTAGATCTTGACGTAAATGTTGTTGTTCCGATCAACACGGGCCGATCCACACGGACCGCCTTCGCCTCATCTACCTCAATCTCCAACATCTATTCACACTTCCAAGCGACAGCGTCAGCGCCATCATAGCCGTAGACCTTCAACTTGCGAGAGGTCTTGTTCTCGATGAATGCAAAGCCATAGCTGTGGAACTGGAACCCCAACGGTTCAGAGGCCTCCCTGGATGGACATCCATGGCGGCTCTGTGTTGCGATGCCGCCCTGGTAAGCAACACTGAACCCAAATGGCTCCTGGGGCTGGGGCTACTGGGATCCTGAGGCGAATTTTGAGGTGTTTGAAGGGCTTCTCAAGGAGCTGCAACTGCTTTGTACAGCTGAGGCCCCGAGCAGACCAGCCATTGCCGGAGCCTTGCGAGCCTGAGACCCAAGGGGCCCTCCCCACATCCCCCCCGCAGAGAGTGAAAGGGGGCAAGGGGGGGAGGGGGGCTTTCTAAGTGGCAGCAAAGGCATCGTTATAGGAGTCAGCATCGACCAGCCGCTCGCTCTTCTCCACTACGCGCCACTACGCGCCAGTCAACCACAACACCACCTGATCATACATGTGACGTATCAACACGGCATCAACGAAGCAGAACAACGAATAGCCGGTGCAGGGGGAACCAAATCTCAGCTCCGACTGCAAGACAGCTCTACGATGCCCGGCATACTCTCATGCTTATCTCACAAGCCAACACGTCGCACACAGTGCCGAGGGAAACCCTGAATTGCTAGACCTAATTCCAACAAGAAACAGAGCACGTTTGTCTGTTCTGCTTTGTCTTTGCGTGATCCCGCATTGCACATCCTGGCCTGGTTCTCCTGGATGCATAAAGCTGCATTCATGGCCCCTCTCGCAGAATCCTCGTCAGGGGCAGGCTTGTTGAGCAGCCTCGCCTTCAAATCATCACTCCACACCCGATCACATAAATGGATTGTCTCCCGGAACTGTTGCCGGAGCACGTCTTGCAACATGCGTCTTGCAGAAATGAATGGGCACCACACGTGTCACATCAGATGCCTCAGAAGTTCGCTCAAGCCAGCAATCATGGTGCCGAAGGACACCAAACATGCGCATCATCACACAGCCCTTGTTGCATTGCCGATTGCCTTCCACGCCAAGGCTCCCAAGCCTAACCGCACCCCCTCCCCCACCCCACAAAGGTCCTCACAAAGGTCCTCTCTCGCAATCAAATCAACCCTCAGCGCAAATCAGCATCCAAAGCCAAAGAAGGTGCGAATGTTACGACACGCACTGTCTAACAGCAGGAATTTGCAGGCTTAACTAGTGGGCTTACTGGTATAGCTTGCGGCTGCTTGCTTTCCGGGTGAGCAAGTTGTGAGAAGAAACCCCCCCCATCTCGCAGCTCCTTTCAACCAATGGCGGCATACCGCCGACATGGCTGCAAAACAGGCGGGGGACAGCGCACGTCTACTAAGCTGAGAACCCCATGCAGAACGCTGTGGCATGTTTCTTGCCTGTTTTGGCTTTTGCTGGCATTTTTTGTCGTTCAGAACAGAACAAGAGAAAAGTGATGGAGACCGTTGTGAAGGCGTGTGTACTTGAGGCTTTGGGCTGCTCGTAACTCGTACAGTATCTGTTCTGCCTCTTTTGGATCTCATCGACTCATAGCTGTAAGCTACTGTAAGATCTACAGCTACTCTCATCCTTCCTTTAAAAGGGAAGAGCGGTGCGAGAATCAGCCCTGGCCTAGAGGCTCTGAGATGCAAACGCTGGTCAAGCAGCACCCTCCCCCCTCCTCCCCCCCCTCCCGTTCGTGGCCGATTACCTGTGTAAACCCAACGCCACATGTTGCACGTGGGCGCAGAGGGCGCGGAGAGCGTGGAGGGCGCACTTGGCAACCTCGTCTCCCGACTTCACACCGCACACCTGAGTGAGGGCCCGACTCGGCTCGAAACCGTTCCTCCGACTTGCTGCGTAACACCTTCACACACTCCGGTGCCTTTCCCTGTTCATCGTACTCAAAGCCGTCCACCGACTTGTTCAGCCTGGGAAGCTCTCAGCGCTGAACAGTTCATTGAATCTTTGATGCATGTGGCGGGGGGAAGCCTTTGATAAGAGCCCACTGTCTCGCTCTGACCGTGTTGCACACCAGAATGCGATGGAGTTTTCCGCGGCTTCGCTGGAGAGCATACGTCTTTGACAAGCTTTCCGCTGTAAACTACCAAAACGGGACCGAGGTCTCAATATTTTAGAAACCTAAACAAGTCCAAAACCACGTGGAACAAAATCATTCGAGATTGAAAGGCCAACAGTCGAAAGTTCGTGAAGGCGCCACCACAGCAGGCGCCAGGCGTAGAAGCCGGTAGAAGCGTGCTAAAAGCTCGCGATGCTCAAAGGCACCGATTCCCCCTAAACATTAAAGCCCATGCGAACTGCCGAGGTGCATGTAGGTGCCCCTGTGGATGGCTGCAAGGCGAGAAAAGCCTCGGAAACAATTAGGGCGGCGTAGCCGCGTGCTGATTTTGACTTCTCTGCCACAGCCGATGGCGGCTTCAACCAGAAAGTGTTGGATATTCGTGTGTTCCTGGCGGAAGCATTTTCGCCACATGGCTTCTGATACCCTGTGCAGAAGACATGCCTTCAACAAACACACTTGGGAGTGCTGAGTCGCCCAATATCACAACAATGCGGCAATTGTTCAGTTCCCCCCCAAGGTTTGCCAACTCACGGCAGCCACCATGATATGCAGATGATATGTGACATGCAGATGATACGCACGGTGTGCTCTCGTCATGAACCAGGGAGGCCGACCCTCCGGCAAGCCGCCGAGTCCGTAGATGGGGTAGATGAACGGAGAGCCTCGAAACTCTGCGTCAAGTCTCTTGAGCACGCCAGAGCCAGATACCTCAAGGCCCATCGCCAAAATGACCCTAGCAGATTCTCGAAGTAAAACTCGGAGGCGCTCCTCCGTACTGGAGCACGGACTGCAGGTAGAGCCTGGTACAGCGTACCACAAAAATTCGTTCAAAGTGGGTTCGGGAAGTGGGGGGTTTTGGGAGGGGCATCGGACACTGAGCACTCGAAGGGGGGGGGGGGGGGGGGGGGGGGGGGGCATTCCAACAAGGCATTGGCAGCTCAGACAGTGCCAGGACGGAACCGGGCCACGCCAGCATCTCTGAACAATTTTCAATTCCCAAGCCCTAAGCAAAACTGGCGCCTGCACTTCTGGATGGTCGGGCCACAGGGTCCATTCAGGTAGCTGTCGTTCGGCCACCTTGGTAGTCTGAGGATGCAGACAAGGCTCCCAAGTTCGGGGGTCCCCCAAAAACACGAAGGAGAGAAAAAAAAACGATGGCCCTCATTGAGAGGAATCTCCCGCAGGAAGGCTACACTCCCATAACTTCTCATATTAGACTGAAGAATGAAGGGGACTCGAAATTGTGACTCACTGAGAAGCCTCAGCAGCCCCAAGTGAGCTTCGGGCAGCGCCACAGCATGGCCGATGAAGTCGATGGTGGATTCCTGCAGTCCAAACCTCGCAAACTCGAGCAGGGCATAAAGGCCTTAGTAGGGGCATTAAGAAAATCTGGGGAGGGAAGAACTGGGTGCATTGTGGTGAGAGGTGACGTGGATGATGCTAGGAGCGAGGAGGTGCCGCGCCTTCTTGCAAACACCGTTTCTCCGGCTGCAAACAGCCGCACTCACGTTCACTACCCTTATTTCTTTCAATCGATGTAGGGGGGAGAGTATGCAATGGGTCGTGTACGGTGCTCCTCTCTGGGACGCGGGCTTCTGGTACACCTGAGCCATGGTATGTCGCCTTCAGCAGCGCTACGACAGGCCAAGCGCAAAAGAGACTGGTAGCATCACAAGCCCTGCGCTTCATTAGTCTTTTGACTCCGGCACTACGCGAACTCTCCTCGGGTCTCGGGTCCTAGCCACGCTCTGTTTGCCTGTTTCCGTTGGACGCTGAGCCCCTCGAAGCCTAATCAGGGCCTAATCCCGAAATCCACAACTCCGGCTATTCTGGATCTTCGGCCTTGGATCGATGTCCTGATGGGTGGAGGGCTTGTCATCCTGTTTGCCAACAAGTTGCAACGGTGCAGCTCCAATTTGGCAAACGCGACATCCATGGAGGGTGAAACCTTATGCTACTCATCATGCCCATGACATACGCCGTGTTTATCCGATGCGGTGCACTGCCCCGAGGCCTGCCCCCACCCCCCCCCCCCCCCACCCGTCCCCGGAACGAATGGGGCGGACCTCGGGCGGACCTCCATGCTGGGCAAGACGTCTTGCATTCTCGACCATTCTTGCGAAGAGAAATTTCTTCGGAGGCCGCCGCGCGAGGCACCGGCCCACCCGTAGCTTTGAGTTTCTTGCACAACAGCAACAGAACAACAACAGCAACCGCAAACAGCAACAGCAACACAGCAACACAGCAACAGCGCAACAGCGCAACACACAACAGCGCAGCGGCCGCAGCGGCCGCAGCGGCTGCAGCAGCAGCGGCAACAGCAACAGCAACAAGGATGAAATGGGAATGGTAAACCCTCAGTGCCTTGGCACACCGCAGCACACTTCGAAGTAGGAAAGGCTACATCCCTGCAGCCGGATGGACACAGGGGCAACATCGTCACATGTACGGAGGCCCACCCTCCTCCCTTCAGGTGCAAGTTGTGCTTTTCTGAATTGCAGCGCTCAGCAATCGTTACTCATGACGTCCCGGCCGCCACCTCCGACCCCGGGGGTTGGTGGGTGGGGGCAAGAAGCCTGCACCAGCCTGTATATCAGGCCATCTCGGCCCGAAAAGGCTTCAGCAGGTACATTTGATGCCCACCCCCCCGGCCCAAACATGTTTACTCTTATGCCCCACAATCCTTTCAGGTTTTGCGAGGCAACATCGTCACATGTACGGAGGCCCACCCTCCTCCCTTCAGGTGCAAGTTGTGCTTTTCTGAATTGCAGCGCTCAGCAATCGTTACTCATGACGTCCCGGCCGCCACCTCCGACCCAGACTGGCTTGCCGCGGCCACGATTTTTGAGCATCTGCACTTTCCGCACTTGGAGCGGGGGGAAGGGGACATTGTCAATGTAAAATGTGAGCTGCCTCGTGCGAATGGCCACCCGCATTTGGTCCTCCAGCTTGCCGACGGGCCATCCATTGAAGCCAGGTTCAGTAGGTGCTGCACCTTAGAACGTCCATGACTGAAGACCCACTTGGGCGACAGCGCTGTTGCTGAGACCGGTGGTTGGGCGGATAGCACCGGCTCTGGTGCCGGCTTGTCCTCCACCACGCCGGCAGCTTGGCGGCGCTGCTGTCTGCAAGGAAGCGTCCCGGCCTGGTTTGCAGGAAGTCGGCTCAGAGCTTCCTCCGCGTAGATGTACACCACGCCGGAGTTCCAACGGCCTAAGAAAGCGATCTGTGCCACACTCATCCCCTTGGTCGCGTAGAGCATGGCCCCGCTGCGGCGAGGTGAGTGGCCTTGCACGTCTTTGCCCAGCGAGTTGGACCACGACTGAGCTACCGTGGCCTTTGGTGGCTTCCTTCCCTCTGAGTCTCGCAGCACAGGTGTGTTTGTTGCGGTGGAGCCGGGCCATTGTAGCTCATGCTTCATCTTCAGCTTCTTTATCAGCTCGACAGGGCACTTGGATTTGCGGCTCTTGCAAGTGCAGCCTAAGGTTCTCGTTGCCCCTTGTGCTCTTTGGTCGACCTTGCTCGACTTGATGAACAGGGAGACCAACTCGCTTTGAGCGCCGAAGAACACATCCTCCCAGGTGAGCTCCTCCAACTCTATGCCTCTTAGCATGAAGACAAGGGCCAGGGCGTAGGTGAGGTAGGGGAAGGCCACTTCGTTGGGAACAAGCTCCCTGGACTTCCCCTTGGCATCGAAGTCCTCTAGCTGGGCTTCCGGCGCTCTCCGGGCCGGCCCGGCGTTGCGGTTCAATGACCTTTTGGCGAGCTCTAGAGCGCGCCTCGCCGCAGTGGAGATGTCCATGTCCAACTCGAGCTGAATCATCTTGAGCTCCGTCAAGTAGGACTTTGCCGACTTAAAGCCAGCAACTTTGAGCGCCGCCGAGAAGCCATGGATGGTGTCCACGCTGAGGGGAAACGGAGGGCCTTTCGCCACCCTCTCTGCCAACTGAAGAGCATCTTGTCTTCGCCTCGTGCGCGGTGCTTGGTTGGACTTTGCGTAGAAGCCCTCTCGAAATGCGTTGATGGCCCCCTTCAACTTGACCTCGTCACCGGCAACTTCGAGTGCTATTTGGAACTTGGTTTTGGAGCTGTTGCTTGGAGTTGCGGGTATTGCCAGGTCTTGTCGAGCAGCACGGGGAGGATTACAGTCTGGATCGAGATGTGTGCCCCGCCCACCGCCAGCCTTGGCCGTGCCCTTGGTCGGGAGGATGCCTCCCAAGGGCAAATGAACTTTGCCCAGAGCTTGCGTGACGTGCTTCATGATCCGGCTGCCCATTTTCTTCCTATCGCCCGTTCCAAATGGGTTTTGGGTTCGGCTTCCACTCCGTAGCCGTAGCCCTTGGCCGGCCTGAGTAGCTGCCATGGCGGTGTTGAGCTCCCGCCTCCGAAGGTGCTCAGAGGGCCCATGTTTGTTGAAGCCGGGTATGCTCCACCATGTAGCGCCGTGGCCTCTTGTGCAGCTGAGCGGCGCCGGAGGTGATGAGCTTGATCCCGCGCCGCGCCCGGCGGAAAGAGCTGCAAGCTTTGAAGTCCATGTTGCGGAGGTTGCGCTGGGAGCCGCGCCGGGAGCTCGAGGGACGGGCCCCTGAAGGACGGGGCCTCTTGTGGAGACTGTGGCCTGTGGCTTTGATGCTGATGCCCCGGCCCTAGGTTTGGCGGCTGTTGCCCTGGATCTTGACCTAGAAGTCGCCCTCGATCTGGAAGGCGTCCTTGGCGTTCTGGGTGTTGCCATCCAGGAGCGGGACCTGGAAGTTGCTCTTGGCCTCGATCTGGACGGCACCCTTGGCGTTCTAGGTGTTGCCATTCTGGAGCGGGACCTGGAAGTTGCTCTTGGCCTGGAAGTTGCCCTCGGCGTCCTGCTCCCCATGTTCGATCCCTGTTTTGCACCGCCTGATCCACCACACTGAGTCCTCGCGGTGTTCCCCAGCAGCAGCATTGAAGGATCCACACGGCCGCGCATGGCAGGGTGAGCAATGTCCATGCCGCGCAGAAGAGGAGGAGCCATTCGGACAGGTAAAAGTCCGATGGGGGGTCTTCCCCCTGGTTAAGTTGGTTTGCCACCACGATCTCCATGACTGCCAAATTTCAGAACAAGTCCTGTGCAATCAGTCACAAACTCTGACAAGACGTATGGATGCATCGCACGGATGTCGGCAAGAGAGAAAGAGAGAAAGAGAGAGAAGGGACAGAGAACTGCGGAGAGAAAAAAGAAAAAAAATTCTGGAGCCACAGAGGCATGGACCCCCGTACTCAACCAGGAACCCGAAAGGAAACTTAGTACAGAGAACAAGACTGACAAAAAGGAGGAAGATGCAATGCGCTCGGTAAATCCCTTGTTTGCAGGTTGCGCTGGTTACAAGAGATCCTGCCAAGCTGCTGTGCACCCTGCTGTGGCCTCAAGCCAAGGCAGGAGAAAACGCTCTGGCTCTAACGGGCTCAGCCGATGCACCTTGGTGTCGGCTAGCTCTCTGGGAGTCTCGCCCCTGCTCAACGGGCGAGACAGAAAATCTGCCAAGACGTTCATCTTCCCTGGCACGTGGGACAGGACGACAGAGTCAATCTTCAAGGCTTCAAGCTTGAGGGCCAGCTCGCCCGCCAAATAGTTGGTCATTGGCGCTTTCGAGCTGAACTTATCCGTCATGGAGAGGGCCACTGTGGAGTCCGATCTAAGACTGAGACCGATGCTCAGGCCTTTGAGGGCCTCTTTCCAATGGTCAAGCGCTATCCACAAAGCCAGCGCTTCCAAGAAAGCTTGTGATTTGTGGGATCCCAGTTCGAATTTGAACATCTTGGCGTCGTTCTCGGTGACCGGGTACTCGAAGGCCTGGAGGATGACCCAAGGCATGTGCTTGTTTGTTCTGGATAAGAGGATGCCACCGCACCCCTGAGGAGACGCATCCGTGATGATCATCAAGGTCTCGGGCAGAAGCCAGAGCGGGCACTTGGTGGTAGGGGCGGCCTTCTGCAACAGTGCCACCAGCCAAGCGTGCGCCGCCTCGAACCTTTTCAGTGGCACCAGGTGGTCCTTGGCTCTCCGGTCTCGCCTTAGTTCTCGGCGTTCTTGTTCCCGGCCGCTTCGAAGATCACGCTGATGATCCGCCAGCGCAGCGTACATGGAAGCTACGGCCCATCTGGCTCTCTTATAAATGCCGGACATCCAATTTGCCTTGCCGGTCACAGTGAGGAGGTCCTTTTCCGGGATCATGCCCTTGTGGGTCCAGGAGGCTTTGCAACAGGCAGCCTTCCCTCCAGCGGATGGAGAAAGAAACTCCGATCCATGTAACGGAGCTCCCGCGGGCTCCCTTCTTCCACGACATTCTCACTCCCAGGGCCGCTAGTGTCAACAAGGCCAGCGAGAGGTTGCGGGTTCGCCGCCGAAGAGAACCAACCAGCATCCAGAGGGGGTCGTCAATGTATGTGGATAACTGAACTTCTGCCTTCCAGAACAGGGACTGGATCAATCGACTGAGCAATGCGCTGAACCGGCACATTATCAAAGGAGCTGACTTGTGCCCAAAGAAGAGTGCCAAGAAGACGTAGACGTAGCCGGGCTCCGCTGGACTGACGCAATTGCCCAGCTCTCCTTCCGCCACAGGGAAATGGGTGAAGGCATCGGTGAAATCTCCGGCGGCGAACTCGGCGGCCCAATCGTCGAGTTCGCGCCCTTCAGCTCGACAGCGGCGGAGAAGCTGGGGTTCCAAGGCCTTCATGTCGCGGAGGGAGTGGTGCACGTCGGACGGCTGGGGCAGGACGATTCTTTCCGGGCACTTGGCTCGAGCATTGGCGCCTGATCGTCTCGCATCGACGATCACCCGCCGTTTCTTTGTACCATCAGCTCGAGTCTTCACGATGAGTCCCAGTTTTGACACCACCGGGTTTTGAAAGTACTCCTCGGCTCTCTTCACCGGGAGTTTCTTCACGAAGCCTAGTCCTTGAAGACGAGACATCTCCTCTCCGGCGTCCTCCGGGGCCCCCACGAAGCTGGTGTAGTTCCTGTCCTCCCACGCCGAGACTGCGCACTCCGACTCCACGTCGATGTTCCCGTCGTCCTCCTTCGGAGGGAAGATGTTACAGACCTCCACGGTGTTGTTGGCTCCCAGCGGGGCACCCTTCTCCAGCCATGTAGCGACATGTTTCTCTGGGTCATTGCCCCGACGGCACCACGCGTTGAGAAGTTCGGTGTGGACCGGGGACTTGTAATGGAGCGCGGGCTTTAGTGTCACAGACTCCCCCCGTTGCCCGACGTTGAAAAACTTCTCGAGCTCGGCGCGCCAGGTCTCCACCAGTTCCGTGTCCAACTCGAAATCTGGGCTCCCATATTCAGCGGCCGCCCCGTTGAGCTCTGGCTTCTTGGAGGCGACCTGGTCGAACAGCTCGTCAATTCGGAGGCCCAGTGACCTCATTCCTGGAGAACGTTCAAGTGACCATATGGGCCTCTTCAGCCCGCCCACTGCGGTCTTGTTCTCTTCCTCCCTGCGCTTTCTTTTCGAATCCCTGGCTTTGAGCTGGCCGAACTTTCCGCCACCCCCTTGCCATTCCGCTTCGGCAACCCCGGCAAAGCCATCCTGTCTAGCCCCGGGTCTTGGTGAGGAGGTAGTAGGCGGCGGCCTTGTCGGCGCCGTGGATGATGTCGAAGTGGATGCCGTGGGAGAGACCGATATGGGCGCCAAGGGTGAAGGCAGGCTCAGAGAAGAGGGCCTAAAGTTGGAGCTCCTGACCCACGTCTCCACGACCAGCTTGGCGTACTGCCTGCAAAGCTCCCTGGGATAGGCTGCTGACCCCTTGGAGGCTGTTTCGACCACCGGTGAATGAACGGTTCCGGGTGGGCAGGCACAGCATCCAGAAAGTCGATGTAGCCCCCGGAGCCGGCCGGCAAATCTGCAAGGTTTCTTGTGTTTTGGCTCGTCGCCTGTCACATACTTGCACATGTTGAAGTCGGCGAATTCTGTTCCCGCCCTTTCTGTCCAACGGAAGACCTCGGGCAGGTACCAGGCTGAACCCGCCTGGCTGTGCCCTGTCTCCGGGGGATTCTCCACGGTGGTTGGTTTCTCGAAGCCGGGCGTGGCACTCTTTTCGATGTCTGTGAGGATCTCGGTTGAAGCAATGGCGAACCAGGAACCTTCATCGGCTTCCCGCTGTTCTTGCGGAGTGTTGCCCGGGAGGCCGTAGATGTGTGCCCGGGAGCGAACCGGACCTGGGTACCCCGGCGCCACCCTCCATCTCAGTTTCGAAAAGGTGCTGCAAGGAAATCCCGAGTGGCCCCCAGCATAATGTCCCGTTCTTGCCTTGGCTCTGATTTGGGCCGCTAACTGAGGGCATCTCAAGTCGTGCCCCTTGGCCAAGTCATAGCCTTCCGTCTCGACCACGATGCCCTGCTCCTTGCCGGCTTTTGCCAACTCTTCGGCGAGGATGTCCACGGGGCCGCAAAACAAGTGCAGAAAGACGAAGGACATGGATGCACGCCAGCTGCTGGCCATGACTAGGCGCGCGCCGACTGGGCCGCCTGCCTACTGGCACACATGGTAGCCTGTAACCGTCTTGCGCCAAGGCGCTCCCGGCAACGGCCACCAATGCAGCAAGTGTACTGACATGTTTCACTGGCAACAAAGGTGTAGCCACACACACACACACACACACACACCCACACACACACACACACACACACACACACACACACACACACACTGACATGCTGGTGCCCAAGAAAGAACAAATTTTGCGCACATGTCCTCGTGAATGCAACTCACTTCTGGGGGCACTCGGAGCTCCTATGGCCCGGGCTCAAGCAAATCCTGCACTTATGCAGACGAACAACCTTGCCCTTGCATGGCTGGCCTGGCGCTATGCTGGCGCAGGGCCCTTTGGCTGCGTCCCAACCGAAACACAAATCCGAACCAGCTTGGTCCTTAGATTTCAAGGCATTCTGCTTAGGCTCTCTGTGCTCAGCAAGGTTAGACTTAGCGCTAGCCCTAAGAGCTTTTAGCTCTTCTTTCTCAGCAGCGATCTTCCTCTTACGAGATGCCCGCCTGTCCTTGGTGCTGCGCTTGCCGTCCGTGGGCGCCTGGATCACCTCCGCTCCGCCTGGCAGGTTTGCCGCTGCAAAGTTCTCATTCGGCGGCTTTGGTGCGCCTCGCCCTCCGTGAGCTAACCAAGCATTGGCAGGAGCACGGACTTGATCATCCCAAAACGAAGTGTCGTGAACTAGTTCATAGAAGCAAGCTGGCCAGGGTCGATCTGGGTCCCATTGCGGCGGCGTGGGCCGGCCTGCTGCCGCATCTGCCGACAACTTGAGTCTGATCCTGCTGAGCTTCTCTCCCCTAGCCTTTTCATCTGCCAAGGCTATCAGGTGCCAGGCCTCTGTGTAGAGCTTCACCAGCTTCTCCACATGGCGCTCGTAGAGCTGCAACGTCGCCAAGGGGAGCAGATCCAACATGATGCAGGCCGTTTGAAAGACCCGCCATGCTGCGAGCCACTGTTGATAGTTTGCGGGTCCTGGCAGCTCCTTGGCCAGATACGTGCCGTCACCCTGGGGCAGCCAGGCTCTGAACTTCGAAGTCCTCAGTGCCCTCCTGCCGAAAGGAGACCACACTGCCATGTCCACATAGGGCGGCTGTTGCAGCAATGCCGTCCTCTTATGCAAGGCGCTCAGCTGTTCAGCAGTAACGTCCTCTTCCTCCTGGGGGGCGGCGCCCATTATGGTGACATACCTCTGGAACCACAGATCTACTCGAGCAAGGGGCTCCACCAGGAACTCGCTGTCGTCTGTCTGGTCCAACACCTGTGACATCTTCAAAGATCTCTCCCTGGTTGTTGCAGCGGCTGGAGCTGGAGTAGGCGCAGCAGTGGGTTTTGCGGCCCAAGGGTCTATATCAGTCCACTCTCCCCACGCGCCGCCGCCCCGGACCCATTGGATCCTGTTTGCGAGTCGCCAAACCAACCCCAACTGCACAGCACATGTAGGTGTCAAGTTTGACCCGTCAGGCATGCGCGAGTCGACAACATTTTGAACAACTGCTTCTGGAGGGATGGCAGGGAATATACGGAGATCCGGATACCCGATCTGGGCATGGAATGCTTGCCAGGCCTCATCCGGTACCCCATAAAACTGCCGAACTTCATCAAGGCTGGCGAAGGCCAGTGCAGCGGCTTCGGATGGCCACAGAGCCATGGCAAGAAGCCTGCACCAGCCTGTATATCAGGCCATCTCGGCCCGAAAAGGCTTCAGCAGGTACATTTGATGCCCACCCCCCCGGCCCAAACATGTTTACTCTTATGCCCCACAATCCTGTCAGGTTTTGCGAAAGACTCGTCAATTTGTTTACATCAACGCCCAAGAACTGCAGGAACCGCCAAGAACCCATCCCGGGGCACACCTCCCAGTTCATGATGAACTGAGCGAAGTTAATGAAGCGTGGCCTAGGCAGGTGGAGTGTGCCGAGCAAGAGTCCAAGTAAATCTAAGTATCGAGCCTAAGTAGGGTTTACTCAGCAACATTTCGTCTCATTTTCCTTGGCGCGGTATGGAATGGCATCCAAGAACGGAAACTCCAAGGCTCCAGGCTTCTCGAGCATGCCCATCAAAGGCGACTTCAGGCCATCTCCGGCGCTTGCCGGCACCTGCACATCGAGCACATCGCCCTTGTAAAATTTGTAAAGCCAAAAACACATTTTTTTTTGCTTCAGGGTTCACCCAGGGTTCACCAAGGGTTCACCCAAAGCTGCGTGGGAAGATAGATCACTGGTACCATAGGCCCCTCAGGAGTTCTGGGCCTTGTGGATGTACTTGGCACCGGAGAACAGGCCGGCCTCCTGGTACCTGACATCTCTTAAGCTCCACGCTTTCTTGAAAGCCCGAAACAAAGCGCGAAGCTCTTGAACTCTTCAGCTGTGCTGCTGTGCCGAAAGAGGGCAGCTCGAGGACAGAATTCTCAGCAGGTCACGTGCTCCTACTCCTGAGTTCTACGACTCCAAGTCTGCAGGGAAACGCCGGGTGTCGCACTGGTATACATAGGTTCCCTCACAGGACTTCCACCTCGCTTCAAGCGCGGTACTGCACTGTAGCCCCGCATCTCAAAAGCGTTCTTCTGGCAGCGATCAATCTCTAATCGTTTTGGAATGCTTTTGGAATGCTTTTGGAATGCTTCCTTTCAGCGTCTCCTTCTGCATTCACCGTAACTTGGAGCCATCCCGGACCCTGGCGCCTTAAGCCACCTTTTCGTCAGCCACTCGAAGCCTCTAAACATGTAACTGGACCTAGAAACCCTATTGTATTTCTTTTCGCCATGGCACTCCAAGTATCGCGAGACTTTCGTCTTCAAAAGGATCTTCACCTCAGATCACGGGACTTGCCTTCAGTGGAAGGGCCCTCCTGGGCCCTCCTGGGCTCTTCTCCCAAAGCGCAGGCTTCCGTGTGGCCCAGCTCCAGCGTCAACAGTCTCGCAAAGCAGGAAAGAACTTGGTCCTCTTGAATCCCCGCATGTGCAAAGCTTCATGGCCCCTTCTTGGCTCACAGATGCAACTTAGCTGAGCTTCGAGACCCCTTAATTCCGAATGCTCCGCTTTCCAATCCAGCTGAGCTGCAAAACCCACAGGCAGCAACCCCAAGGGCCCCCTAGAAAGGCCTAACAAAGGACAAGGGGGGCCCCAAAAAAGGCGCCCAAGGGCGGTCACCCAAGCCCGCCACGAGGTCGCCCGAGGCCATGATGAACTTGGGGATGAGGTCGACCTTTTTTGAAGAGGCATTTCAGTGGGCCTGAGATGTGCATCTTCCGGCTTTGAGGGGTTCGCCTGCGTCGTGAGCTGCCTCAGCCTAAGCACCAAAGCCTGGACAAACGCCCACAGGTTTTACTGGGACATGCTGCTTTCCTCGGCTGCACATCGCACTGCTGGCCCACCAAGCCCCCCCCAAAAGACCCAAAGAAATCAGGCAATTCAAACCTCTCTGTCCAAAAAGACGACAAAGGCAGCTTGATAAACGAACAGCTTCACACACACACACACACACACACAGGCCCCTGCCTGACGGTTCCTCATCGCAAGGTTTCGGCCACTCACGGCAACACTCGGCAACACTCTCAACCCCGAGGCCGTTACGTTCCACTCCCTGTTTTCTCCCAACCTCAGCATATTCCAGATGGCGCAACATGGTAAGACTGGAAATTTGCGGCAGCTGGTCCATGCTCAGCATATTTTGGGGGTGGTCGCTAGGTAGTAGGCTTCTCCTTGGACCGCTAGCAACCAGCCACAGCAGCCACATACAACGAGAGAACGAGAGTGAGGAGGAGCTCCGGTAGACTCGCGCACTGCTACGATGAGACCAGTTCCGTACTCTACGAAGCTGTTGGAAGCGTCTGGAGATTTGGGGTGCTCTGGGGTCAACGGTCCGCCCTACACCGCAGAAAAGCTGAAGCAAAGGGCACATCCCGCAAGTCCAATGAGACAACACACCTTGCATTCTAACCGCCCTACAATGAAAGCAAACAAACAGAGGTGGGCATCATCAAAGACAAACTCTATGACCACTCATTGGGCCATCGAGCTCTTGAACCACTTAGCGCACACGAGCAAGAACCACACCTGCTTCTGAGGGCGGTGCAAAGCTTAACCAACAACCCGCCACTGCTCACGAGCATCTGCCATCAGCATGTGCGTGGACGCCGCCCGACCACCCCTCCCCGTCCAGGCTGGACACCGCCGCACGCAGCAAGCGCATAGAGAAGCACCCAAATTGACCCTCACATAGAAGACATTTTCCTGAGACCTTTCTAGACTTGTCCTAAAACTCCAAAACCCTTAGCAGTGGAACCCCCAGGAAAAAATGTATGCAAAAAAAGGAAACATCCGGGTCACGGACTCCTTGGGCGGGGCCGAGCCGGGCATGAACTTCTGCCAGAGGTTGGTGATGTTCCTAAGGGCGCCCAAAAAACCCAACAAGTCACCTCTATGGCTTGATGGCTTGGGGTTTCTTCGTGGGTCTTGAGGCACTTGAGGCACTTGAGGTTCAGGAAAATTTGGGGTTTTAGGGGATTAAGGCTAGAAGGGCGGGGGCTTTGGAAGGCTCAGCATCTCGAAGACGGGGCAAATCTTGAGAGCTGTCCTGAATGTGACAGTTGCTGTGCTCTCCTGGCCCTGAGTCTGAGGGCCTGAACACAACCTCAAGCGTGAAGATTTTGAGGCGAGCTTTGCGCATGCAGAAGGCGAGAGCTCGGCTCAGGGGCAAGATGTAGCCACAGAATGGTTTGCAGCTTGCACCGATGTTGGCTACGAAGAATACACACCCTTCGGGCTCTAAGCCCGAAAGCTCTTCCCAGGTCAAAGAGTCTGTTGAGTAGGCCCCCCCGTCTTCGTACCATTGCTTAAATCCTTCCTACTCAGTGAAGCCGAAAACGTTTAGCATCATCTCGATTCCAAGGCACAAGGATGCACACTCTCCACCTCAGAGAGCCAAGAAGACATTCAAGGAAAGGGGGGAGGATTCCAGGCACGGCAAGCACCAGCATCCCCAGTAGATTGTCCCAGGCATGATCACAAACACCTTTGAAGGCCCAGACCGTGCACACCCCCAACCGTTCCGGCACTTTTCTCCATCGCCACCAAGTCTGAATCCGAAACTCCGCGCTGCAAATCCGACTAAACCCCCGCGCTGTCCCTTGCGAGAAACCTAGGTTTCTGATCAACATTACCATACACTGACACACGCTGACACGTTGCGGCCCCAAAGTTGCAGCTGAAGAGTTCTTGTACCCTCTTCCTGCAGCCCCGTACAGATGGCGCGGCTGTACAGTTCCGGGTGTGCAGTGCAGTGCACTCGTTGGCACAAGGGGCTGGATTAACAAAGCTCAAAGACTTTTTGACAATAGTCAAGGCTTGAATCGGGCTGAAAGATAACCAAGAAGCTCTCAATGCATCAACTGAAACTGCGTACAAGGGCCTAACAGCGCGTCGTGCTGCTCCATCCTCGGCACTCTCAGCCCAGACTGCTGGCCATAAAATAGTTCGGTTGCGATGCTGCCGCTTTCGCTGAGCGGCGCAAGGGCTCGAGCTTGGCAGACGGTGAACCGACGACGTCTAAGACTTCGTTCAATGTCTCTAATGAGGGTCAGAAAAATTGGGGCAGGGGTGTTGTTGTTGTGGAAGTGCTGCCCGCTCAAGAGGCCTAGCGTTTGCCGCTGGACATCCGGCAAAGGCCCAAGTTGATGGATACTGCTTTCGAGTGTGAAACCCTGGAGGTGCCCACCCTCAAAACCAGGTACCTGACCAGGAGCTAAATCCGGGTGGAGGTGGGCTTCGTTACGGAATTTGAGCGTAAGGTACGACTGTTCTGTGCAGCTTCTCCCCACGTTTCTCCCTCCTCGCGGGCCGTCTCTTCCGAAAACTAGCGGGCGTCTGGGTTTCTCGACGGACTACGCAGATTATCTCGCTTCAAATGGTGAGGTCCATCTTGGGACCGAGGCACGTTCGAACCAAGCAGTTGAGCCGTCGTCGTCGTCGTCGCCGCCGTCGTCGCCGTCGTCGTCGTCTTCGTCTTCGTCTTCGTCTTCGTCTTCGCCTTCGCCGTCGCCGCAGTCGAAGTAGAAGTAGAAGTGGAAGTAGAAGTAGAAGTAGAAGTAGTAGCAGCAGCAGCAGCAGCAGTAGTAGTAGTAGTAGTAGTAGTCGTCGTCGTCGTAGTAGTAGTAGTAGTAGCAGTAGCAGTAGCAGTAGTAGTAGTAGTAGTAGTAGTAGTAGTAGTAGTAGTAGTAGTAGTAGTAGTAGTAGTAGTAGTAGTAGTAGTAGTAGTAGTAGCAAAGCGCGCCCCCAGGCGCCTGGCAGTTTGGTGCGTTTTAGTTGTAGTCGTCGTCGTCGTCGTCGTCGTCGTCGTCGTCGTCGTCGTCGTCGTCTACTACTACTACTACTACTACTACTACTACTACTACTACTACTACTACTACTACTACTACTACTACTACTACTACTACTACTACTACTACTACTACTACTACTACTACTACTACTACTACTTCTACTACTTCTACTTCTACTTCTACTTCTACTAGTACTAGTACTAGTACTAGTACTAGTACTAGTGCTAGGAACAGCAACCGTAGCTGTCGTAGTGCCAGGATCAATGCTTATGCTTGTTGGCATGCGGCCATCACGAACTGACTCAACAGAACACTGTTTGATGCCAGTAGTGCCCTTGCGTACGACGGCAGCATCATGCAAGCGATCCGCAGCTGCAGGAGACCGACTGACCAGAGATCAGCATCAAGGCTCCAGCTTCCCGGACCTTTTGGGGGAAACTGACTCGCAGACCCCCCTGTCCGCACAAGACGGCCAAACATTGAAACATCTCATTCTTCTTGGCTGAAGCGAATTGCAAGGGCATGTCAACGCCCAGAAAGAATCCAGCATTTGCTCGTCAACCCAGGCGAAGGCTTCAAAGCCTGTTTTCCATGCTCATGGTGCAGGCTCTCGCCAGGCTCGGCAAAAAAACGCACCGGAGGCTCAAAATGAATCTACACACTGTACTACTTACGGCGTGTCAGTGATCTCTGCTGCTTCTGCTAGTTCTGTCAAAGTGTCCATTTCGAGCCCCTCGCCCCGTGCACAAGCCTGATTTCCAGAATTCAAAGAAGCCTCAAGGCGTCACGTGCCTTTGGCTCCCTGGTCAGGCTCTTCTGCGTGCTGCCTTTCTCCGCATTCTGTCTGGGCTTCTGCCTTCAGCTGGGACCACGACAGCTCAACACCCCCGAATCCGCGCAGAAGCCCATCCATGAGAATCTAAGAATCTAAGCCCATACCAGGGCCAGTAAGTGTTGAAAAGTTGAAGAAACAGACATTCCAACGTCTTGGGTTCACGGCATGAGGGCATACGAACATGCAGAAAAAAACCCCGAAACCCCAAATGCTCCCAAATGCTGAAAATCCTGAAAGCAAGATGCCGCTCGCGCGGGTGCAGCAGGCGCAGCGACCACCAAAGCAGCATTGCCGTTTGCAGGTGGTCTGAATCCCTCCACCACCTAAGCTTTGGAGTCTTTTCAACAAAGCCTCGAGGCCCAGCAGGGCTTAGGGACGCATAGGTCTGGGTCCGAACAGAATTCTCAACTCCCGCAACATCCGATTGTCGTGACTCTCGGCGAAAAAAGTTTCCTCTATACTGTCAACGGGGATTCCAACGACTTGTCTTGGGTTTGGACCTAGATTTGTATTGCGGAAAGGATGCAATCACACATCCTATGGTCAAGACACGTCTAACTCGACAATCTCGATATGCTACAGTTCAGCCACGCACCCACACGCCACAAGCGAAACACTCTTGCAGATCCAGAGACATAGCGGTTGTTCAGTCGGAAGATTCCTCTGCCTAAGGGCTGCGCAGCGTCATCGTCATGGTTCTTTTTTGCAAACATTTGTCACTGACAACGCATGCTTTTGGGGGGGGGGGGGGGGGGGGCGGGTTCTTGGAGCCCTCACTGCGGCAGCTCCAGGGGAATGCAAAGCTCGGGCAAGAGTCAGGCTCTCTCAGCCTGGTCCAGGAGGGGTGCACAGGAAGCAACCCACGACCATCAGAATCATCGCACGAAACGAGCATGCTGTCGCCATCAGCTGGCCCAGAATATCCCACTATCGAAGCGGCCTGAACCTCCACCCTCAAGCAAAGCCGACTGCAGGCAAAGCGGCTTGGCTCCAGATTCAAGCCCGCAATCGTTCGCAAACCTTTTATGGAAAATCGACGAAATTCGGATTGCGGCTGTCTTTGGGGGCCCTATCATCACGTGCAATTGACACTCTGGGACGAACAAAGCAGAACGCCATTCTTATTTCCCCGAAAGCCCCGACCAATTACCAACGAATGCCTAGCGGGGAAAGCTTCCTTATCTGCCAAGGCTCCAGTGCACTCCATGGGCACGGCTCTTCGACTCTTCCGCGGGCTCTTCTTCTGGGAAAGCCTTCCAAGGAAGCCTTCCTCTGCCTTCCTCTGCTTCCTTCTTTTGGAGCTCGCAAAATGATCTCGGGATTCGCGCTTCAGAATCCGGGAGGTTCGGGAAGTTTGATCCAGAAAGGGATTCGCGGGCCATGCACACAAAATGTGTCGCTTGTTGCATGGCGGACATGGTGCAAGGGTCACGGGTGCCGCTTCCCAGACGATCTGCTTCTGAGGCCTTGGCCATAGTAGGGATTCCTGTCAAGGTGCAACACCTGACTCCAGGTTTCAGGGAGTGTGACATCTTGGCTCATCTCCGATGACCCGAGATGCCACGCACAAGCCAAGCAATCCGTCTGATGGACCCTTTCCTTCTGAAGACCGTGCGCTGAGGGACCACCCGACCACCCTCCCCAGTTTGGCCGCAAGCGCGCCTTTTTTCCGTGGACGGAGAGGAGGCCGCTCAGAATGCACTCCTTGAGGCCTCGGAAAATGGGGATGGGGGTTTCTTGATGCTTCGCTTCTTGGAGCTTCAGAGCTGAGATGGGACGAGCAGGATGACTTCTCACAGGATCAGACCCTGGAGGATGCAAAGCCCGCTGGCGCCCGTGTCCCACTTGTCCAACTCTTCAGCTGGCATTCGCAGTTCGAAAGCTGCCGGCTCCACATCTAGAAAACTCACAGCATGCTTTCTTCACTGATAAAACTGATTCCTTTAACTCACAGGGGCCAAAGGGCCAAAGGAACAAGGGGCAAAGAGATTCCCTGCAGGTGCAACTGGGAGCAGTCTCAATAGCTTGTGCTGAAACGCTGCTCCGAGCCTTCGGGGAAAAGCTCTCACGATTTGCGGAGAGATGTTATGAGTTACGAGGGCTACCATTTGTCCGATCGTGTTTCAAGAGCCAGATCGTTTAAAGGTCGTTTCAAGGCACGTCACCGTGGTGGCGTCCCATCTTCAAGGCCTACAACACCTCGCTCTTTTGCCCGTCTGCCGTATCCGCGAGTAGCGCTCGAGGATAAGACTCTGCGCAGCGGCCACCAGGGATCTGCAAAGCACGGAACTCGCACCGGTCACCGAATCCAGGTACTAAAAACTGCACCTCTTTGCTCACTTGGGGGGTGCAACCAAGATTCATTTTCTTGAGGTCTCAATCGCATGAGGGTGTTACATGCTTTGCCTCCAGGAGATCGTCCCCCCCCCCCCCCCCCCCCAGCCCGGGTCTTGAATACAGAAAGGTAACACAACGACGTGCCAGCCCTCTACTCACACCCCCCCACAACGATTCACTGCGCAAATACCACAGAGACATCCCCCAAAACCAGCCTGTCGAGTTGATTCCGTGCTTCAAACCTCAGGAGATCGGAGATCGACAAGTGCACATCCTTCAATGATTCAACCCCTGCATCTTTAGTGACTCGAATAGGCCAGGGCTTGGTATGGGGCAGCTTTTCCGAAGCAGAACTTTGACATCATGTATACTCAGGCTGTTTCACAGCATTGCTGTCTGGCCGCAACTCCAGGAAAAAAAGCTTCTCTCCACTCTCTTCACGAGGTGCAGCCTGCCTGCTCTCCCCAGGGAGGGTCCCACTCCAGGTACAGTTTTGTGCCTTCTCCTGCTGTCCCTGGGCTTGCAAGTACATCGAAGTTGAGAAGGCGGAATGGCTCCTCTTCTCCCCCCCTTTCTCGTTTGTGAACATTCTGAACAAGAGGAACAGAAGCCTGACAGGTGGCCGATGTACGTGAAATCGACCCAGAGAGTGAGATCCACTGCGTGGAAAGCTTGATTTCCTGTGTTTTTTTCCGAATCCCTGTCGGTTCGGGAGAAGTGGACAGTTCTTTAGCTGCATCGTGCGGAGTAGAATCTAGTAAACCTCCTCTGAAACATGTCTGTCGGCGCTGGGGCCAAAGCTGCATCCTGGCCGAAGAAGATAGGTAGCTGCCTCAGTCAAAAGGCTGACTCAAGGAACGCCCCCCTAAGGAATATAGAGGGACAAACCTTGAAACCGGAACACAAGTCGATCGACTCCTTCCATGATGTTCACTTCAAGCTCTTCCAGAGCCGTCAGTAAGTAGGGGCAGCCGAGGACCGGACTGGGACGATCAATCCTTTGCAGGCTTTCGATGCCTCCAGATCACAGCACCACTGTAGTGAACTTCATGCTTTGCCCATCTTTGCCCAGTAGCATTTCGACCTCAGTTTTCTTCCAGCGGTGCTGACTGCGACTACATCCCCAGTCTGTCCTTAGTCCCTGCGGAGTGGCGCCTCGGCGTGCGCAGTGCCCGCGATTTCTTGTTGCATTTCTTGTATTCTGCTGCTACACGAAATCCGGATCCCGCAGCTAAAAATGGAATGACGTAGCGCAAAGGTGCGTTTACTGACAGGAAGCAGGAGTGGCAAGGTAAAAACTGAGGTTCGGATCATCTGTCCACAACTGCACTGGACCAGCGCCCAGCCTCACAGATCCTCACAGTAACACAAAACTTGAGATCGGGGCCACGAAAGCTAGAAACGCGGCTGACAAGCAAGCTTTTTTCGAGTCAGGCAGGAGAAGTGCGGGCGCAGCAGCGCAGCCGAGCAGGACGGGACTGCCGAATCGGTGTAAGCAAAACGAAACATGATGGGACACGCAGCGGTCAAGAGCTGTCGGAAGCTGCGGATTCGAATGCTCATCCCGGGGCCTTACAGCTCGACAACAGGGCCTGACCAAGACGGAGGGGGAAGCCTGAAAAGGGGGGGGGGGTGGGGGGCCCCCCCCTCCCCAGAAATCAATTAAGGCGACCCTGAAGGAGGGGGGGGGGGGGACACCTTAAGATTGATTTTGTCAATCCTACGCGGGGGGGGGGGGGGGGGGGCCCCCCCCCCCCCCTCCACAGCCCGTTATCTCTTTGATTTTCAGACCACTTAAGGGTCGGAGTCGCTTCTTGACCCAGCTGAACACTAGAGAGAATTCTTGTAAACGACAACTCTCGCGAGCTCCAACGAGCTAGCTTTCGTGACAACACACAGCCCACACTGGGCCTACTGATATGTTTTTTCTTGCTTTTTTGCAGTCAATCGTCACTTGCATACCCCTGAGCCTGGTACTTGAGCCAATCCCGGAATCCCTGCTTGCCATTTGCCTGGTCTGCTCTTGGGGACGTTCAAGTACGGCAGCGCTGCCAAATCAGAGCACCGGTCTCCGCATGGGATGTTCCTGCAAACCACCACGCCAGAAGGAGGGGAAATTGGGCGGGGAGGGGCAGAATACATGCGCAGGCACACATGTCTGACATGTAGTCTCGACCAGCACCGGTCTCTGCAACCTTCAAACTTGCAACGACTTGCAACCCCGGAGCTTGGAGCGACCGCATGGCTTAGCCTTAGGGCCTAGCTCAGAGGCTTGAATCGGAAACCAGAATGGCAGAGTCGAAAGCAGAAACGGATAAATCGGAAACGAGGAGATGGCTCATTCGGAAACTGGGACTGATTTTTGATTCGTAAGTGTTCTGATTCGCAGGCTGGCTTTGATCTAGCTGCGAACCCTACTTCGACCCTCTCTTCAGGGGCCTTAACTTGGCAGGGTGCGGTTCTGAGAAGAGTCTGGTCCTCCAGATAAACCAGCGCTTCTGCGCTGGCTCCAACGAGGTCACCAACACGATCCCTTGCCGAGCCCGTCGGAACCACTGTAGAACCGAACAGCCCCTGACTGTCCTTCGCATCGCATCTTGCAGCAGCACTCCGCTCTCGTTCGGGGCAAAAGACACGTCAACCACCTGGGAAGAAGGAAGAAGTCGGGAACACATCTGGGAGCTAACATCACCTTTCGGGACCAAGGCAGACCACTGATCATGTTAATGCTGGAATATGCTGGAAGTTTGGGCCTTCAAACCCTGCAACCGATCCCAAAACCTGAACCGCGGTTGCGCATCCGAGCCGCGACATCGAAACGGTGAAGCACCGAAAGGGCCGCCTCTCAGGGGCTGAGAACTAGCAAACGGATCCCCTTCGTTGAAGAGACTTCATTAAAAAGTTCATTCAGAGTTCACATGAGTCCACCCTTGCCTCCAGCTTTGCAGAGTTGTCCCCTCGGCCAACGCCAGGCCTGAATCATTGAAGGCCCCAGCGCATGTTTCTACGTTTCATTTGCACTCCGGCTATAGCACCTGTCGCGACGGAGCCACTTCGCAAGAAAGGACATGCGTGAAGGCCACCATGTTGGAAGAAGGCTTCCCGGCTCAAGCGACACTCTATAGAACAACACCCTCGGTGCGGTCCGGGTACACCAGGTGTCTCGTGAGACAGTTGCTGGCTTGAGCGATGTGGTAGCCTGATCCAGAAGATCGCTTCAGGGCAAAAGAGGGTTTGGGAACTAAACCCCAAACCCCAAGATAAGGGGTCTATGTTCGAAGCTGCCACGAATATGGGCAGCACGAACTTTCGAACCTCCCATAACCCTCCCCCCGAGCCTAATGTGGCCCGACGGCAGCCAGGAATGAACTGCCGCCGCTGGTCTTGGAAGGCAAAGGGCGAGCGAATGCCTCGGGCTCAGGTGTTTGTCTTTGTGCTTGTTTTATGCTTGTATGCTTGTAGCGTAAGGTAAAGGGGGGGGGTGGGGGGGAGGGGGGCTAAAGTGCTAAAGGGAGATAGAGAATATATAAGGTTGGAAGGTCGCACCTCGTCGCGGGCACCGCTTTGATACACCAAGAGCTTCTGCATGTTGAGACTGCTGTATGATGGGCACTTCTCTAGATGGTGGATCATAGCAGGTGTGCGTGGGACGCATGGGACTTCGGAGAAAGGCTTTGGGGCCTTGGGGCTCATGAAATCTGTCGCTGTGGGCAGTCCAAGTAACTGAAAGAGGATCTTGTCAGGCCGGGTTCCAAAACCAGCTCCATAAACTCTGAGACTTTCTCCTAGCAAGAATGGGATGCACCAGCCACCTCCATGCACAGGTGAAAGTTTGCAGACTCCTTGAAGCACCGTGCAACCCCGTCGCGGTACCTCGGGTGAGAGCAAGGCTCAAGCAAGGTACCGGGGGGGGGGGGGGGGGGGCTGAGTTGCTGCTGGTACACTGGGTTGGGTGAACGCCATATTGGAAGCGAAGACTTCCACAGTTCCCTCAAATCCGGCCGGGGTGCGATTCTGCGTTGTCCATCTCTGCCTTGGCGATGAGGCTGCAAACGGGGATGCCTCAGCACCGGATCATGCGGTCCTCTGGGATATGCTTAATCTGTCCTAATCTGTCCTGACCCCCAACCAACTTCGATTGAACCCGCACTCTCATATTGGCCACCATCGAAGGAATCGTCGTTCTGTGAGCTTGCACAAGGAGCGATAGTACATCCAAAACGCCGCCAGCTACATCCAACATCCCCCCTCCAAAAACCCAAACTCTTCCTTAGATACCTGTGCAGCCATCATGCAGAACTGAAGCCAGGAGAGGTACCGATCAAGCGGATCGCGTCTGGGCTGCAAGGGCCACTTGAAAGGCACTGAAGTTTCAGAGCTTGGGTTCTCTGACATTTCGCGAGAGCGATAGAGTTCTCAGGGTTAGCGTGCATTTAGGGCTGCTGTTGCACGCTGTTGTTGCGTCCTTGGGGTTCTTGGGGATTTTTCAGGTTGGCCTGTCCGGGGCCTCGTGGCAAGCCCTTGATACCACATCGAACCTTCACCCTGAGAGCATTGAGTACGCTACCAGCCAGGATGCACCATCAGCACGTGCAGGTAGGAGCTCCAAAATCCGCTGTAGGGGCCTGGACAGAGCAGGCACAGTCTCGCCATATCCTCTGACCAGACTAACAACAAAACTCTCCTCTGGTTTTGTTTTTAACCACGCGGGCCCAGGTGAGAACCCAAGCGGACTGCCAGCCCAACTGATACTGTACTCTGAGTCTACTTGTGCTCTGAATGTACTTGTACTCTGAGTCTTGTGCTGCCCTTGCACTCTATGCAGGCCAAGTGTCTTGTCATGGCATGGAGCCACCTTGCCATCCTCGCAGAGCGGTTTTCCTCGGAAGGCTCCTTCAGAGGGATCAAAGTGATGCCCTTCGGGACGAGGCCTCCGTTCCACTTCCCTTGAAGCCCTGCAAAGCCCTGCAAAGCCCTGCAAAGCCTCAAGGCCCAGACAAACAATTTGGGGGAAGCTTCCAACAAGTAGGGCTAAGTAGGGCTAAGTAGGGTCACCCTTTCTCATGCCCCAGAAAGTCCAACTTGGGAGCTTGGGATGTCGCCCTGGTCGGCTCACCAAACGCACGGGGCACCTCCTGCTCAAAGCCATCATCCCAGTCGCTGAAGCTGGGTTCCACCGAAATGAAGCCTAAGCCAATGCGCTGCATCTGTTGGACTTAAACTGTTGCACCTGGCTCGAAAAGCAGCTCCCAGAACTCTGGCAAACTCTCGCACACTCTGGCACAGTCCACACGTGTTGCTTGACATTCTGGCCCCCTTCTTTTGGCAGAAACCCAGAAACCCAAAATGGCCCCAGAAAATCCAAGGTGCCCAAGCCGCGGTCGAACAAGCTCCTGACCTCGAAGGCCGAGGATCCTAAAAATCCTAAACCAGCGATTGCGAACTCCTTTGTTGAAAAGCCGCTCTCCCGCTGAGCCCTCCGAAGCCCACGAAACTCGAAACTCGCAAACGTTCAGCGAAACCCAGGCCAAACCTGGAGAAGTCATTGGAAGTGAATCAACCCTCATCCCACCTGCGCTGCATCAAGCTGGTGGTCGGATGCAAAGGGCCACCCTCGGCGCTTTCAAGAAAACTTGCCTAGTGCCCTGGCCCACGTGCCCACGCCTGATAAAAAGCCCTCAGCATCTTCGCTTGCAAGTGTCCTGCGGCATCGCGGAAGTGAGCCAAAGAGTCCAGCCGGCAATTGTCCACCTGGGCGCGTTTTCACCGTGTCAGCTGGCAGCCACAGCCATGCCATTGAGTATTGAGGCTCACGGAGGCTCATGGAGGCTCATTAAGGCATATATCTACTGAACTTCGTTGAGGAGCCCACATGGAGGAGCTGTCACAACATGCCATGACCTACCCCACCAGCCTTGAGACCCTAAGGCCGGGATGCAGGTGCTTGGCTATTGGCTCTAGGCTTCCGGGCCTCTTCCTGCAGTGACGGGCTCTACTGAGGATCCTCCGAAGCTCATCTCACAAGGCTGGCTTTGGCTTTTGCTGTTGGCATCTAAGCCATCTAGGCAACCGAATCAACCTCGGACCGAGGCCCATGGCCTGAAGGCCTCTGTCAAAAACCCACCGAGCCGTTCACCCTTGTGTGTGTATACATAACGGCTATGTGTATATATATATATAATACATGTGAAGAAAGCATGGGTAGCAGCCCCAATCAAGCCCTTGGCTTGCAGCGCTTCCCCCGACGTTTGACACTTGATGGTGGTTGCACCATGTCGCACCGACATTGTCCACATGGTACTACCATGAAGAGCTCGGATTGTTTTCAAGTCGAGTGCAGCAAGGAATACACTCGGATAGCAAGCGAGACATACAGTCTGTGCACATGAGCTCTTCGAGACACGTACCGCGACACACCTGCCTTCTAGATTGCACTGCAGCCATCCCACGTTGCCGCCGCCGCCTCTGCGGCCCACGTCGATCCACTGCGCAGCGAGGTCGCAAAGGCTGGTGCCCCCGGCCCTGAGGAGGTTCAGGGGCTGGGCCTTGAGTTTGGGGTGGTTTCGGGGTTTCCCCCACTCGCGTGATTCCCTTTTGCCAGATCGGGCCTCCATGCACAATCTCCCACATACTCACAGCTCCACACTGCATGCACAAAGTGAAGGACACCTTGCCATGGTATGTCGCCTCATAGGGTGCAGGAGCACCACCGGCCGTGCGGATTGTGCTCCGAAAGTGCAGCGTCCAAGAAAGTCCCCTGGGGAAGGAGTACGCTGCCAACGCCTGGGAGGCGCAGGACTCAGAACGATTCAGAAGATATCTTCGGAAAAACGCAGAGCGACGTCCATTTTCAAATCTTTTAGGACCCTGTAAGACCCTGAGGCCCCCGGCACACGCGTCGGCAGCGGGGACATCACATACCAGCGACTTGAAGGCGTGACGGCCTTGAGGGGGGGTTCCGCTTGACGAATTTTTCTTGGCCCGAAACGGATGGGACAGATCTGCCCGTTGAACGGTTCCGGAGAATCTTACCTTCGAAAGGTACACAGCACGAAGACCATAACCTTTTCGAACATCCCGACCCTGTTTTTAGAACCCAACAGCAAGGCTTTTAACTTTAAAGTTGCAGTCCAGAGTTTCAGGTCCGATGGAGCAGTCAAAGGAAGACAATGTTTGGGTTACGGGAGGTTCGGGATGGCAAGAGGTTTGTTGCAATTCCGACTCTTTCCGACAAGAACAACATCATCCGACAGGAATAAGGGCTCAAGCTTTAGCATGCTGCAAATGTTTCGGGCCGGGCCTTAGTCACTTAGTCTTTTCCCGCAAAAAACACATGGGAAGAGTTCCCTTCGGGGCAGAAACGCATGGCCCATGTCTGCAAAATTGTCGGAATCCCTGACAAACCAATGACCAATGAATAGAGTTTGTAAAGCCCATTGCAAACCCGCCGACGGAACCCGCCAACATCGAAACCTTGCACGGCATTCCGGTTGTCCCGCAGAGCGTTCCCTGGCCTGCCTACGGAAGCCAGTTTCTGGTACAGTCGCGTCCCAAACCTGCTTATGACTGCGACATTCGGGTACCGTCGCGCGCTTGAGCCTTCCAAGCCTGCATTATATGAATGCCACACACCCTCCGGCACTGGTTTGAATGCCGCGGTACTGCGTATTGGGCTGAGTGCTGTCTTGAACGCGTCGTGTCGCATGATGCGGGCACGTGCGGGCCACTTTGTCCTTAAAATCTGAAAGCCGATCTTGTCGGTTGAGGAGATCAGTGCAGCCCGACAACGTGCAAGCACCCTAGCGCTGACACTGCCTAAAGGCGCCTTTGAAGCTGGCACGTGCAACTCGAATCACAGTGCCACCTACCGAGTGCAAGCAGTCCCTGGCCTGCTAACTAAGGCCTGCATATTCAGCATTGAGGCAATTTTTCGGTACTGCCCTGCTTATTGAGGTCACATTTCGGTACAATTGCCCGCCTGAGCCTCCCTGGCCAGCTTACTCAAGCAACATTCCGGTACAATTGCCTGCCTCTTGTCCTGAATGCTAGAAAACCTAGAATCGCGTCACGTGATGCACCTCTTGTCCTGAATGCTAGAAAACCTAGAATCGCGTCACGTGATGCACCTCTTGTCCTGAATGCTAGAAAACCTAAAATCGCGTCACGTGATGCACACGCCCTTTTGTCCTGAACATCTCACAACCCCACTTGTCGGCTGGGGAAAAAGGAGAGCAAAAGCAAGCAGAAGGCGAGATATGACGCTTCTTTCGCAGGTGCTTCGTCAGAATGTACGCCAGGTGACATACATCTGCTCAGTGCCGAAGTAGATGTCCGTGTGGTAGCCTCACAACGGGAATGGTGTTGCGGAAAGCCGGGGTTGAGACAGAACTCCTACAGTGTGCAGAAAGTTGCTCAAGTCACACATGTATTCCATCTGCTGCCCCTCTGCAGAGCCGATGTAGCTGAGCTGAGCAGCCGGGTGGCCACATATCTCGCCCGGAGCACTGAGCACTTCAAACATTGCTGCGAGGTACCTGCTCCACTCAACAAACTCAGATCTTTCCGCGCCCACGCTTCCTTGCTAGAGCCCCCACGCGCACCCCACCCCAGCATCTTTTCTTGTTGAGCTTCAGACTGCTTCACATAATACACCCGTTTGCCCATGTGTAGCCCTTTCGACAAGTGCTTTTGTCAACACAAAAACCTGCAACTGTGCCGAACTTCAGGCTTTGCCCATGCACATTACCTAGCCTTGCATGACGACATTCACCGCCGAGCCAGAGGTCTGTCTCAGGAGTTCAGGAAATTAATTAACACGCTTCAGCAAAACGTACACGAGAGCACGTGAAAGTTAGGCTGAGAAACAATGTCCCAACTGGCACTTTTCCTAGTACAAATGGACCTCGGCAGGCCTCGAATGCTGCAACTCGTGAACTCCCAACACACGAAACCCTTTCGCCAACATGTGCAGCTGACATCAACTATATCAACTGACCATGTATTCGCCCCGAAGCACCTTCGATGCACCAGGTACGCATAGTTCGCAATGGGAGAGCACTTAATCCGAGCAAAGTTGCCTGGACCCTGCTCCTCAGCAGACGGTGAATTCTCTAGGCGACTCAGACAACAGGACAAGCCGCAGAATTCGCATGGGAAAGAGATAGGCCAGAGTTCTTGGGCCCTGCAAGGGGACAACCATTCTGAAGGGTCTTGTGCACGGATCCCCTGGCGACTCTAGGGGCCCAGAGTTTGGGCCTCCCACCGAAGCTAAAGGCCCCTCTCCTTGAGTCCTCCCCAAGCCCCCCAAGGTCGTCAACATGTGCTTCTGGCTCTTGCGAAGGGGTTAGTAGCCTTAAGGGCTCTAAGGCTTAGGCCGGTACGAGTAGGGCAGTCTGGGTGTGGAGAGGGGGCTTTGGTTCTGCGCCGCTGTGTGAGGGGACACTTCAAAGCTCTCCATAGCCCGGTACCCCTGGGACCCTCAACTTTTGAGCTGCAACTCCGCAACTTTAAGGGACTCGAGGAAGTTTCGACGAAGTTTCGTAGCTTCTTTGGGGGCAGCCTGTGGATTGTTCGGTGGTTCCAGGTTCGGGCTGGAGATTGTTCAGGATGAGTTCGGGGCCGAGGGGATTTGGAGGCCAGCGAGGCTAAAGGCGGCTAAGGAATTGCGGTGAGCAACACTAGCCTCGAAAACAGAAACCCTCTCAGAGCACTTCCTGTCTTCTTCGTGCCACAACATGCGGGCAGGTGAAACATCGCTGGCACCAACTTCCCAACCACACCGAAATCATGGACTCCACGTGACTCCACCTACGAACCACCCCTGAGGCTCTCCAAATATCCGTGAAGGACATCGGGCAGAATGATAGAACGATACTGTGCAAATCCGACTAGAAACCCCACCCAAAAGAAACCCAAGCCTAACAGTTTTTAACATTTTCCAGCATAGGGCCCATGCTTCCTCACGAAGAGGTAGTTGATGTCCAATTTGTGTTGGCATTCCACGTAGCCAAGGCTTTTGAGCAAGTTGCGTATCTTCCAGCTTTTTGTTGGGTCGAACTTATGGAACTCGATCATGAAGACCTCCACCGTCACTTCGGTGAAATCTATGGTTAGCAGCACCTCGAGCTCAGACCCCTCCACATCCAACGAAAAGAAGTCGATGTGCTTCACGTGCAAGTACGAAGACATGGGCTTGCATGGGATACTCTCCACGTGCCCGAAAAAAGTCTCGTTGTAGTGGTTCTTGACCTCTTGTGACATATGCTGCACATCAGCATCCATTGCACCATCCCTTGGTTCCAGACGTCTCGCTCCACGCCCTTCAAGCCCTTCAAGCCCTTTGGGCCTTTAAGATCTCAGAGCGCGCTTCAAGCTCTCTTGCGACTCGTCACAAAGAACATGGAAGTGGTTCCCAACAACGACCCAGGTGCTGGTTCACAATGAAGGTCACGTGCGTTTGCGGTGGCGCACAGACAGCGCCATAGTGGGCCACCGCGTTGGTGGGGCGTGCCACGGCCGAGTTCTGCCGAAGCAGCGCGTAGTTGCGAGGGCTGCCTTCGACCAAGATGCCTGCGGGGTTCAACATGTTCGAACCTGGAAACTTGCGGGAGTCTGGGGAGAGCTCACATGAGCTCACAGTACCTGTGCTGCCTGGGACGTAAATCATAGGAAACGCTGAGGCGTAACTTTTTCGTTTGCTCATCAACAATAGTTACAGCAAATTTGTGGCTTCGAAACGGCTTGATCCCTCGAAGGAGTGGCCGAGAACCCTTGCTGAATTCTGATTCTTTGGCAGGCGTCTACAGTACATTTGGCACTTTTTGAGGTTACCCCCAACATCTCACCCACCATCCCGTTGTGGGGGCTTGGGGCCTAAGGTTTGCCACCCAACATCCCCCAAAAAAACACTTACAGATCTTCAGGCTGTAGAGATTCCCAACATCTCCTTTTCGGGCTTAGGGCTTGCCACTCAACCTGCTTAATATGCAGCTTGGGATGTTTGGGGCTTGCCACCCAACAGTTTGTTGGCAAGAGTGAATCATACGAGTCACAACAGTGGGATTTGCCTGGTCTGCTGTTCGCGCCGTTTCACGGGTGTTGGCCACCTTTGACCTACGCTGACGGGTTAAAAGAGCGCACAGCCAAAGGCAACACCCAATTTTTGAGGCTCAGGGCTTGCGCTTGCCGCACAACATTTCCTTTCCGGGCTTAAGGCTTGCTACAGAGGACATGGCGTCGATGGGCGACCACCTGAAAAGAAACAAAACTGACATGCAGGAGGCACTTCAGCAACGAATGTTTCGGCGTTCGTCGCTCTGCATGTCCCTTCACACACTACGCGTGTTACTCTGCTTTTAAGGGTTCGCTTGGGTATCCTCATAGCGGGGTATGCCGGGTTCGAGCCAAGAAAGAAGAAAAGAGTTTCTAATAACCACATAAGCAGAAAAGCTACAAACTAGACTCTTCAGGCGTGATGTTCCAACTAGTGTTCACACGCTTCCACCTGTCCAGCCGAGGCAGCTGTGCAGCCGCAGGGTGTTTGAGTAGGTAATGCCATCGAACGCACCAATCTCAACATAAACTCCACCCCGCTTCTCTTGCCAGGAGAAAGTTTCAACAATGGCGTTCTCTTCGCCATGCTGCGACTGGCTGAAGAGGCACTTCTCGGCAGCATTGTAAAATTCAGAACCCTGACAGCACTTCTCGAATGTGATGTAGCTGAAGTCCGGCATCCCACAACGCATCGTGTTCCAAGCAGACTTATCTCGGCAGCAGGCTTCTTTATACATCCTCCAGGAGTCCGCCCAACATCGAGGGTCACCGTGGAAACCACGTTGGACGGGCAGAACCAAGTCAGCGCTTCTGACCAGTGCAAGGGTCCAGCTTGCCATGGTCAGGCAGGAAAGTGTGCCATTCATCCTATGTTGAAGGAAGTTTGCCGCAGTTTGCCCTACCGCATCGCTGCAACTATAGAGCGGATCTCTGTGAAGGTCGCTTACTCCATGCAAGAAAGTCTTCTAGCATCGAATCGAGGCAACGGTCTATCAAAGCGGGGACAAGACGAAATACTCGTGATGACAACACATGCGTTCGCAACAGGATTCCCAGCATGTCCTATTTGTCTTGTCTGATGCAGGGCGATGGGCAGCTCACAGGATCTAGGTTGTAAGTTTGGAGTGCGCAGTGTCATGGATGAAGCTTTCTCAGCCGAGTCTCGAAGCTGCGGGCTCCCCCGGTTTTCGAATTCCCTGGAGTCACTGACAAAAGCACCTCCTAAAAAAGGACACTGACAGCAAAGCTGGAAAGAGTCGGCGCTGCTCGTCTGGGATTCAGGATGTCCACTTGAGACCAGAGACAGACACAGGGACAGAGGCAGAGACACAGACAGAGACAGAGACGGAGACAGAGACAGAGGCAGAGACGGAGACAGGCAGAGGCAGAGGCAGAGGCAGAGGCAGAGGCAGAGGCAGAGGCAGAGGCAGAGGCAGAGGCAGAGGCAGAGGCAGAGGCAGAGGCAGAGGCAGAGGCAGAGGCAGAGGCAGAGGCAGAGGCAGAGGCAGAGGCAGAGGCAGAGGCAGAGGCAGCGGCAGAGGCAGAGGCAGAGGCAGAGGCAGAGGCAGAGGCAGAGGCAGAGGCAGAGGCAGAGGCAGAGGCAGAGGCAGAGGCAGAGGCAGAGGCAGAGGCAGAGGCAGAGGCAGAGGCAGGGGCAGAGGCAGAGGCAGAGGCAGAGGCAGAGGCAGAGGCAGAGGCAGAGGCAGAGGCAGAGGCAGAGGCAGAGGCAGAGGCAGAGGCAGAGGCAGAGAGATAGACAGGAAAAGAGAAAGAGAGAGAGAGAGAGAGAGAGAGAGATACCGAATCCTATACCCAAGATCGCTTACAATCTGAATCCGAATCCCCGAAACCCCTGCAAACAAACGAATAGGCATAGTTCGTGACCCCAATCTGGGAAGCGGGAGGTCGAAAATATCATGTTATGACTCTTTGCTGTCGTTTCAACTGTCTTGACCGGGAGGGCATGGGTCCGGTTGGGGGGGAGGGGGGAGGGGCAGGGGTGGGGAGGCGAGGGCAGGGTGGGGGAGGCGAGGGTGGGGTGGGGAGGGTAGGGAGGGTAGGGGAGGGTGGGAGGGTGGGGAGGTGGGGAGGGTGGGGGAGGTGGGGGAGGGTGGGGAGGGTGGGGAGAGGGTAGGGAGGGTGGGAGGGTGGGGAGGGTGGGGGGGTGGGAGGTGGGGAGGGTGGTGGGGAGGGTGGGAGGTGGGGAGGGGTGGGGAGGGTGGCGGAGGGTGGGAGGGGTGGGAGGGTGGGGAGGGTGGGGAGGGTGGGGAGGGGGGGGAGGGTGGGGAGGGTGGGGAGGGAGGGGAAGGTGAGCAGGGAGGGAGGGTCTGGGAGGGGTGAGAAAGGAAAGAGCACCCAAAAGACCAGCAAAGTCGAGAAATAACATTTTTGAAACATTGCACACCACAAAAACGCCAAGATCTAGCATCTTGTATGGGTTCAATGCTCACGGCGAAGTCTATGGAACACAGTTGAGCGTCGTCCAGCTACCACGTATTCTGATGTCTCGATGCCTGTGTACATGTTGCAAGCCAGATCTGCAAAATCTAGAACAAACTTGGCGGCTCAGGCACCAGGTCAGCGCATCGGAATTCTTGGTCGTTGCCTAGGCGAACAGGATGCTGGAAGGAGGCACCCCACAGACCACCAACCAGCGAATATTGCGCACATGGCGACCAAGCAGTTGCACGAACCTTTTTCAACACGAAAATAGGTCGGAAGTGCGGCTCACCTGTTGTTAGGCAGGGGAGTGTCAAAGGAAGACGCTGCGCCATGCGCAGCACAGGCAAGGTGCTCGTAGATTAAGTTCTCACAGCAGACAACATGCCCTTCAAAGTCGTGCACAACATACTCCGCAGTATGCAGAAGCAGCTAGCGAGGTTTATCATACCGTAGCCGCATGCACTACAAGGTGGTGCTTCAGGAAACAAGCATCGCAAGATGCCGCATGTATTTACGAACCAAGTACTGCAGCTGATGCAAAAACGAACCGCTGCTCGTAAAAGCTACCATTGCACGGCATGCAGGTCCTCCCGCACAGCCACAGTATGCAGCATGCTCTGCATGCTGGAAAATTGCTAAGAACAGCTCAGCTAGCCAGGAGTGCTACAGGAGGATGCCCTGAAGCACAGGCAGCTCGGTGTCATTCCAAGTCATCCGGCCTGTCTGATCCTTCCAGGAAAGCGAGCTGATGTCAGTTGGCGTCCCCTGCCCTCCCACCCAGACCGACTTCACATTTACAACTGGAAATGCTCTCACATGCTCTCCCTGCCTCGACTGGCCGCAGCTCGTCTTTGAAAACCCATGCTTCCTGCATGCCATCGTCGACTCCGACGCAGACACGCCCTGTGGCATGGTCCACTTGCTTGACGCGGACCTTAACATTGCCATCCTTGTAGCCCAAAATGCGCGCCCTGTCATCTGCGAGCAGAAGCTCCTTCCCAGAGAAAAGCGCCTCAGTGAAAGTAAGCTTGCCCTCCCTGCCTGCCAAGACAACCTGCAAAATGAAAGACAAAAACATTGGAAAACTGAATCATCAGATCCGAGGGAACGCCTCGTCGACGCCTGTTGCGGCGTCCATCGTGCAGGTGGCAGAAATCACAGAAGGCCCCCTTCATGCAACTTCGCAGTGGAGGCTTGTGATAACCTGGCATGAGCTGAAGGAATGGAGAGCTGCTGGACTTACAGTAGCTGTTGACGTAGCACAGAAATCGGGACCGCAATGGTGGAAGCATGTTCTTAAAATGGTTTGCAACTAGGGTGCTGCACACCAAGCACATGGCATTTACACCATCACCAACGTGAAGGGCACTGCCGACAGAGAGTTGAGCCTGCGGTCTTCGTGATCCTTCTGCTCTGGGGATCGGTCGGGTCAGCCTCATGTAGTCACTGAACCTGATGCAATCCGCAGTGCTTGTAGAGTTGGCCAGGGAGACGATGCTGTCTCGCGACATGTGCAGCCTTCTGGCCGTGCCCAGTCGCCCTGGCAGAGCCGAACGTGGGCCAAGCACAATTTGCAAGTCCTCCATTGACTCCACGGACGAGCTCCGCGATGCAGCTGGAGGTGCCACGAACCTGGGTCGTGGGACGTCCTCTGTCGCAGGAACCTTCATCTCGTCCGGCACTGGTGGAAATCCCGAATCCATCCCACCTCGCGTGCAAAACTATCCCGTGAAAGGCAGGTCTCCTGTCCACTGAGCCAAAAGCCGGGTTTCAGCATTGCATGCGCACACGATCGCACACGCTTGGCCATGCAACGTCTTCAGGAAGCAAACGTCGGTGCTTTTTGGCACAGCTGTCCCATGCACAACCACACAGGGCTCGCAAGCATCTACACTGTTGTTGCACCCAAAGGGAACCGGACCTACAAGCACAAGATGACACTTCGTCAACTTCAGCACGTCAACTCTCTGAAGCCCTAAGGCCGGCCCCCCCCCCCCCGGGCCCGAGGCAGCCCCGCCTGAGCCCGATGCGTCCAAGGATGGCAACATCGAAGTCTGGCAGGGTCTCCGTCACCTCCTTCTTTGAGAAGAGGCTGGGAGACAGGCCTATGACAATGGTTAGAAGAGGTGTTCACCTCTGAGCTCTCATGAGCCCCCCGTCGTAGACTTCAAGATCCCCTCGAGCCAGCTCCTGGATGCTGCGTACCAGAGCGCCAGGGCGCCAATCCACGAAGTCCTCTCGGGGGGTCCGATGGAAAGGGGAGCTTGAGACACCTCCAGTCCGATCTCATCCCAGATGCCAACTGGCAACGTGGCAAAGCATACACTACCCAACCCTGCACAAAGGCTAGAGAAGCGGAGTAAAGTGGTTGAATGCTAGGCTTAGGACAGGTTGGATCCTCGTCCCACACAGGCCCATACGCCACCTAACCCTTCGCCATGCTCAGTTTAAAGAGTCGGTGGTGCAAGAGTGGCCAGGCGTCGCTCTCAACAGAAATTCGATGGACAGACAAGTTGCCTCTTAGCTTTCCGGGTCCTCCAAGATCAAGCACAAGTCCTCAAGGTCTCGCGTGCCAAGGGTACGCCTAAATTTGAGCCTTCACGGCGTTAGAGAAAGCCAAGCCAGAACAAAAGCCTGTGAAAAGGCCCTCCTCTCAGAAAAGACCCAAAGACCCCTCTAAAGAAGGCGTCGAGTTGCGGCTTCCACCGACTGGCATTGCCTCCATGGGGTGGCCAAAAGCAAATGGGCCCCAATTTTTGATGGGGCCAACCAAACTGGTTCGTGCGCGCGTGTAGGTCCTACAGGAACGGGTCCCGATTTGCTAAGGATGCGAAGGGCAACCCGATGTGATGATGTGCTCTTCTCACTTCCAGGTGCCGAGCGTCTTCACCACCACAGCGTGGCCGCCTTGCACACTGTTGCCACTACGCAGCGCTCGTTTGGTGGCTCTTAGAGAGGGGCCAGAAGAGTGACCTCACGAAGTGCTTCCGGTTCAGCTTCTACATGCTTCTCCATTAAACTCCATTACGTCTCCTCCCTTTTTAAGCTGACTCGGCTGGAGGGCGGATGCGCTGGTACGCGGAGTCTCGGACCCGAGTGGCAACCAAAGGTATGCCCTCGGCCGTAAGCTTCTTCCAGAATCCTCAGCGGTATGCCTAAGGTATCTAAGGCCTAGGACCCTATGACCCACAACTTGACGTAGATTTGTAGATTTGGGGAATGGTGTCTGGTCGATGTCTCTGAATGCAGCAGCAAGGAGGCTCGCAAAAGGGCTTGCTCAGGCTTTTGCTTTGCATGAGTGCCGCCAGGCAAGCAAATGAACGCATCCTCGGAAAAGAAACCGTTGTCCACTGAACACGGACCCCAGATGATTGAGATACTGGCTGCAAAGCAAGAACTCCGCCATGCCTCACTTGTCCACAATTGTCCACACCTTGCTCGCTGCCGAAGCTCGAATTTGGCGTTCAGCCGCCTTTTTTGCAGTGATGAAGCCACCATACCTTTGCTGTTCGCATGCAGAGCACCTTTCCTGCTGATCTAAAGGACAATCAGAAATCCTGGATCCCAATATTCCATGCAGAAATATACGAATATCCCTTCTGGCACAAGGAGAAACTATTGTGGAGCTGCAACGGATGGGCCATTCGTCTTGCAAAGTACCATCGTGAACGCCTGTGCTGGCCTGGACGACTACATATTGTTAGCCGGGCAGCAGCACGGGCTCTTCGCCAAGCACCCGCACAGACCCCGCGGCAGCCAGGGCTAGGCCCACGAGCATCTAGAGAGTCCTTTCAACAGCTTGCGCGGTGCTTTTGAGCTTCGTACAGAGCGGCTTCCGGGAACTTGTTCTGCAGGATAATGGAGCTCTGCGGGCCCGCTTCGATGGGACAGGGGTGACACGGCGTCTTCCAAGCTGCATGGGCTTCATTTGGGCTGTCAGTGCTGGATCCCAATCGTTGCAGCCTAGACCCCAAAAACTTTGAAAACAATGCTGAGCGGAGCACCTACCTCCAATGGCTTATGGTGGATGTGATCGCCACTAGGCGGTGCAGGGTGGAGTTTCCAAATTTCCGGGTGAGGTCAGCCCAAGCATCCCATTCGTCCTGCGGACAGCCCGTGAGCGCCACATCGCCTCACTTGCCAAAGCAAAGATTCTTAGCGATGGCGTGATGGTTCACGAAATTTCACGAATCCTGCCAGCAGACTCGTGCGGCACTCAGCGCATGCCAAGCGACGGAGGTCATGGTCACTCAGTGGCATCCGCAGCCGAAGCATCCGCAGCCCAAGCGTGCTCGGAGTGGCTGAATGGCGGGGGAGCCATTTCTGTAAGGAAGGCCTTCGGGAGATTGTCCAGCCATTGCGTGGCTCAGGATGGAACTGAAGTTATCGACATGAGTCGTTATGAACTGCCACAACAGACTCAATCAGGACGGCTGCAGTCCGAACAGTTCAATGCACCGGTCTCAACCTCATGCATCCGCCAAGCCGGGGGCGGCGATAGTGAAGACCCACAAGTCGAGGAGCTTACGGTTCTTGGGTCTTCAGAGTTTGGTCTGCAGTTTTGGGGTCGGCACTGTCGGCAGTCATACAATTCAATGTATTCCTCAGGTGGGTTAAGTAAGGTCCACCAGGATGCAAGGGGCCACGTAAGGCCACGTAAAGGGCTTATTCGGAAACAAAGGCATTGTCATGTGAAACCGAGGCCAACAAGTAGCTGAATGCGAAGAAAATGCAGAGGGAAAGCAAGCGTACTTGCCAAAAAATCGCATAGCATAGTGGCATACACTGAAAATACCGGGCCAAAGAATTGCAACACAGTTTAGTGCATGACTACCGCCTACAAACTCGGCCCACAGCCCGTGCCGCAAACGATGACATCGTACTCCTCATCCATGAGACCTTCGATGTGGCGCAGTTTGTGTCAAGCAGACATTTTTGCCTGGGGCGTGACAAACCGCCCGAAGAACAGCAGCCCAGACCATTGACACCGAAATCACGCGATTTCATCTGTAAAACCGTCCGTGCCGGCGTACAGTAGCCATTCTCCGTATGGAAATGCATGAACCCCTCTATGCCCTCTACAATGGCCTCTCGTTGCCTGCACAAGCTGTACACTTTCGTACGTACAAAGGCATGAGCAGGGCTGCAACAGCAACGGGGAACTTACAATGTAGAAAGCGCATGACATCGGGAAATGCAAAGGTTCAGCAAGGCTTGGTCGTGTATGTCAGATGCAGCCGCTCTCTCAGAGTTGGGCGAATTGCCAGAACAGGCCAGGACCCCGCAAGCTTCGAAAGGTCTCTAAACTTGAAGAACTGCACACACACACACCCCCCCCCCCCCCTGCTCCCGACCCCCTGCTCGCCTGCGGCCTTCAAAAGCTTGGAGGTTGCAAGCTTGAACCAGAATCTGCTCGCACACTTGGGGGTGCATCATGCGGAGAACGTAAAGGTTTGAAGCCTGTGGTTTCGGTCCCGGGATTGAGGCTTCTGACATTTGGAAGCATATGCCAAGAAAGAACCGAACCACTGAGCAGCTTTGGTCCATGTTACATCGTCGACTAAAACAATTTACCGGTCCATGTCATCACGGGTCCTTGTCTGATTAGATTAGATGTTGGCTTTCAAAACTTCCGTGACAAACTAGCTCCTAAGGCCAAAAAACAGGAATCACAATATGAACGTGTCCCCATGACAAAGAAGCTTCAGACAGCTTTCAAGAATCCATGTTCTGCTTGGTTCTCTTCAAATCGCTGGTCTCTTTCAGCGCCGCGACCCCTGCAAGTCGTGCTGCGCGGCCATCTGCCTTCTTGACTTCTCAGCCCCCACAACCCCTGCCAATTTTCTACTTAGCAACAAGCCAGCAGAAGCCTACAGCAAGAGCCTACAGCAGGAGCCTACAGCAGGAGCCTACAGCAGAAGCCTACAGCAGGAGCCTACAGCCTATGCCCAAGCTCCACTCCGCACTGCGCGTTCTCTCAAAGCTTCGGGGGTTCGCGGGTCGGCTGTTCTCCCTCCCCTCGACTCGCGTCGTCACTTTCGCCGGCCTAAAACGAAAGGCAACAGACCTGCAAGACCTGCAAAAGACCTGCCCTCACCCGAAGTCCTCCTTGTAACCCATCATTCTTTGCAAGGCATCAAAAAATCTGGTGGCATAACAGATTGCTGTTGGAATTTTAACGCTGCAGAAACTTCTCCATGCTTGTCGCTCTTTCCAACATCTTCCTCCACACAAGCGTCGTCCTCACATTCTTCTTCTTCACCGTCTTCTTCCTGATCCGCGATGCCTCCTGAGCGAAGCAACAGCTTGGATGAGAACCAGATCGCATAAAGCATCGTCCTATGTAGGATGCTCTGCCGTAACTGCTGCAGAATCCGCACACCGCACCCCAACCCCGACAGCTTCCGGTTTCCAGAGCCGAGGGACATCGGGACCCCGGCAAGCTGTCAAAGTCTTCAACTGGTGCTACGCCCAAGAGGTTCTTTTTGTCCTTTACCCTCAAGTTCTCGGCACCCTCCGAAACACATCAAAACAAGCAACAAAACAACACAAACCAAAAATAAACCCATGGCCTGTTTTTTGGTCCCAGGGGCCGGCGGCAGCTGCCAAGATCCGTCGCAAGGCTTCCTCCATCCCCATGGCCAGCAGCTCCTTCTGAGCTCCAACAGTAATTCTTTGCGGCTCTCGTTGTCCTAGCACCAAGCTAGCGAGGTGATCAAGCGGGAGCAGCCTCTACGCCCGCTCTGGAAGAACGCCAAGGCGTAACCAGCTGCGATGCATCCAGTGCAACCAGTGCCTGGGGAGGTTGACATGAGTTGACTTCAGGTGCCTCCTTAAACGCTGAAAAAAGATCTGTGGACCTCAGATCCCTTCTTAAACGCTGATGACATCTCCACACGCAGCTGGTGCGGTCTGCTCTCCATCTGGACGTGACTCCGCTCTGTGGCTGTGTGCCCTCTCCCCATCACTGCAACGGGGGTTCCCGCCTCGCCATCCTGGAGAGTGGCATCAAAGAGGCGGTATATGCAACCGCTGGAAATGTGTTGGAGACCTTTCCGCCGCAGAGCGCGCAAAGCCGTGAATGCCTCATGCAGGTGTACTGACTGGGATGCAAGGCCTCATATGCCTCATGTTGTGAACAGAAAGACGCTTCGTCTTTTCGGAGCTTGGTTGGCGGAGACTCAGATTGTGCCCAGCCCCTTGCAAGCCCTGAAGCACTCAATCGACCAAACCCCAGACTCGGGAAATGCTGGAACCCTACTACGTTGCCGGCGGCTGACCTTGCTCCTGAGACGACAACATGCTGCCTTTCACCATCCTTCTGGAATTCATGTGGGCACTCTTCGTTGGACACACTGCCCACACAGAAGGAAGTACTGTAAGTGTGAGAACTTACTACAGTTGCGAAATGGAAGCTGAGAGTCCGCCACAAAATTCTTACCTACTAGGGGTTTGAAAAGAAGCACAGGCTTTGTCGCAGGCTTTTTGCCTTCCGACTCACGAACACGGTCTCTTCCTCCTCTCCCTCCTCTTCCTCCACAGCATGGTCCTCAACCGGAGACATCCGCAAGATCAAAGTCAAGTCAAGTACATTCAAGTACTCTGCGGCCAGAACTTGGCTACCCTACCTTTAGGGGTGGCGCCCAAACAAGCAAAGCACGGATTCGGGAAACCAGGATTGTGGAAACCCGCTGATTCAGGAAACTGGGAAACGCGGATTCTGCAACTGCAAAAACCTGACTCGCAAAAAAGGAGAACGCGGATTCTGGAAACTGAACAATGCTGATTCAGGAAACTCGAAGGCACGGATTCGGAATCCGCCGATTCGGGAAGTTGGACAGTGCAGATTCAAAAACCGCTTATTCGGGAAACTGAAAGCGTGCTTGATTCAACGTTATCATCGCCCCCCTCTGGTTTCCTCCACCTTGTGGTTTCCTCACTTGGTTTCCTGAATCACGTGTAGTCAGTTTCCTGGATCGACTGGTTTTGTGACTCATGTTTCCGGAATCTTCTAGTTTCCTGAATCCTGGTTTCTGAATCGCGCATGACTCAGCCAAAGACAAGCAAAGATTAGAAAAGACTACGAAGCGACAACCAAAAGACAGCCCAATGACAACCAACAGACAGTCAAAAGACGACCAAAAGACAAGCCGAAGACAGGCAAAATGGAAAAACGATGAGAACTGGGCGAATGAACACTTGTGTTTAAGTCTCTTTGTTGATGAAGCTCTTCTGGCATGGGACCTAGATGTTCCCGAGGATTTCGGCTCCGTTGTCCTGCCAATAAAAGCCCTATCCACTCGCCCTTGCAAAATGTGGAACAGTGTATTCACGGCGCAGACCTCCCGGTGTGGATCAAGCAGAATACTGATGGCACAACAACTCATGTCCGCGTCAAGAAAAGCAAGAGCTGCATCGCACGTGTGCCAAGCCTTGTCAAATACAGGCCTGAAGAAACCAAGTATAACCAAACCCAAAAATTTGGGCAGATTTTTTTGTGCTGCAACACTGGAGAAGCCACAGAAAGAGCACCAGAAACTTGCGGAGCTGAAGCGGAACTCTCTCGGAGCTAAAGCGGCCCAGGCTTCGAGGCCGTTTGAGCTTGGCCGTGCAGCGTTGTCAGGCGAAGAAGCAGAAGTTGGCTCCTGGGTTGAGGTGAAAGCGTTTCACACGCTTTCACACGCTTTCACACGGTTTCACACGGTTTCACGACTCAGATGCGAACACGCAAGAATCTGAGGGCCTCGAGGCCATCACGGTCCTCGTCCCCGTCCTGATGTGGAAACCGGGAAGCTGGCGCGAAAACCCTCGACGCGTCACGGTGACGCTTGCTTTCTTCAGAAACCACCCTCTCTTCAGGCCCGCACCCTCAACTCCTCTGTGCGTGTTGGCGAGCTTTGCGCCACCTCGCCAGGACTGCAAAGGGCCTCCTGGTCGGACATCGCTACGAAGCCATCTTCGCTTTGTGGCACCTTCAGGAAGGTGCGCACAGAGTGATGCCACTCTGGTCACAACATGTCACGACGGCGACAAAATTTGCAAAGTTTAAGCCTCCAGGGACAGAACTTGAAAGTACTGACAAAGAAACAATTCAAATGCGCATGTGTTCTGGTCATGCGTGTCTGTGTCGGTAGTCTGGGAAATATGGGTCGCATTTTTGCTTCTCCGCTGGGTTGCCATGGAGCCATCCATGCAGGAAGCTTTTGGCAAACACGCCCCTCGATTTGGTTCAAACCAACCCGTCATCATGCGCCGCCAGTGATGCCTGTTGAAGCCCTCACGCGTATCCTCATCGGACTGTATAGAAGGAACAAGTACGACGACGACGACGAGGAGCACAACCACCACCACCACCACCACCACAACGCGGTTCCAGCATGTATTTGGCATAAACCCACCCCTCTCATCGCAAAAAATGGCACCGAAACCTATGTTAAAACCCGCCCCTGTAACAACGAAATAACCCTGAGACAGTGTTGAAACTCACCCCTGGGCCCCTCTCATCAAGACCGTGGGGCTATCTCATCCCGCGACGGGTAGGCGGCAACAGGGGATTGCTCACACTCTGTAACAGCCCACCCGTCTCATCATGCTCTGTCAGTGAGGTTTTTCTAACACCACACCCCTTCACTCCGCGAGAAAAGGACCACGCACCACCAGCGATAGTCCGTCCTTCGAGGGCTTCTTACAACTCAACCCCCTCATCATGCAATACCATATGGACCCAAGCCCGATGAGACGGAGAAACGGTCCACTTGCGTTGTATTGTAAACCACCCCTCTCGTCATGCGTTGCCAAAGGCTCTGGCTGAAACCCACGATGCCAAAGACTTTTGCATATCTCCCCATCCTATAGCATGGGGGCAACAGGAAGGCTACTGTTGTCTTCTTGAAACCCAGCCACGATGCCAGATATGTTTTCTTGAACCCACCCCGTTCGTCTTGCGATAAACTTTTATCATGCGATGCCAGCGCGATTCTTCAAAGCCTGCCCCTCCCATCATCTGATACCAAGGAGCCATCAGATGATGGTATCAGATTACTCCTTGGTATCTGATATCACGACAACATGGAAGCAATAAGACACTGCAGCTGGACATCCCAACAGTCTCCCCTGTGTTCAAACCCACAACTCATCACGCGTGCCGGTACAGCCCACCCGTCTCATCATGTGATACCATGGAGCCATCTTTCCCGCGATCGCATACTGAAGACAGAAGCACCTCTCCTTTGCCAGGAAACCCATTCGACCCGCTCATCGCGCGATGCCATTTTAACGATATCAACCTGCGAAACGCGAAACTACTCATCATGCAGTGCCAGTGGTGTATGTCCTGGTATGTCGCTACAGCGGGGCTGGTTTGGCATCAGACGGTTTGGAACCCTTCTGGGCTCGAAAGCCCTGGTTGCTGGTGAAGCTTGTGAAGAATTATGAAGCTTGTGCCGGGACATGCCGGACTGATCTCGGCTGCGCCTTCTCGGGATCCTCCGACCCTTTAGGCGAAGGAAGGGCCTTGGTCTTGCCCGTGAGCCGCCGCCGCTTGCAAATCTGCATCTCCTGTGCTCATGGTCCAACTACCCACTTACCTCCCACTTCCCTCACTCACCTCATAAGACTCGTACCTTATCGTACCTTCACAATCCTCCTGGGCCGAGGGGGAGAAGCAGAGAAGGCAGGGGAAGGCAGGGGGCCCATGGGGGGCTCGAAATGAATATCGATGTATGTACATGTTTGAACTCAGTTCGAACATGTGCTGGGAGCCTATGGGAGCCTTGGAGATCAAGTTCTTTTTTCTCGATATGTGGTTCATGACATGGCAACGCGGCCTGTGCCAGCAGAGCGGAGTCGTCCAGTTCCGGCAGCGCAGGTTCTAAGTGGTAGCCTTTCAACTCCAAATCGTGCATGATGGCAGCCTCCGACACTGACAAGGTGTGACCACTGCGAGAAGGGCAACTGAAATGGAAACGTTCTTGAATTGCAAGCTAGCGGCTTCCATCTCTGCCTCGTCTAAATTCTTGCCGCAGCGTGCGGCCACTTCGGCAAGTATGGCCTTCAGCTCGGCCTGGGCAGCCTCCAGTGTGCAGAGAGGTGCCGTCCGCAGCACCTCACGCACGTGGCGCAAGGGTGCGCGCCAGTCGCCCGCTGCGGCCATGCTTGGGCCTCTGAGACTCTGGATGCCTTCGCACCCGTTGCGTCGCACCCTTTTTGCACCTTGGCACGGTGTTTCACCCTCTGCACCTGGGCTATGGGCAACTTGCGGAACCTCTGGCAGGCCTAAGGCTGGCACTACCTTTTGATTCTTGATGCAAGAGAGGGGTAGAGCTAGACAAGCACTACTCTAGGGTTGGCTGGGGGTGCGCTCCAAGGATTGGTGAAGCCTCTTTAAGGCGTTGGGTCACTTGTTCTGCTTGAGCCACATGGCAGACTGGACCGCAGCTGTTGTATCTGTTGTGCTGGCAGGGCACGTTAATTCTACTGAGGTCGAGGGTCAAAGACTGACACGTTTTGGTATCGCCCGAGCTCGAATTCCGACGTCATCTGACCCTCGACACCCCAGCATACTGTAACAGTGGAGATCTCAGCTTTGTTGCTTTGCGTAATGGGAAAACAATCTCGAAATGGGAGCTCCCACTCCGGGTACAGGATCCAACTGATATCACACAGGAGCTGCTCCTGTCAGACGTCCCGAGCCAGCGCTGGCTCATGGCACGGACAGGAGACAAAGCTACTTGTCCTTCGCAACATATATGGGCGGTTGTCAAAATTATGGTCCCTTTTTGGATCCCTATTATAATACGGCACCTAATATTTAGGGTACCCCAAAAGGGATCATAATTTTGACAACCACCCATATGGGGCGGAACAATCACGTGAACAAGAGTACCAGGGACTACTGTTCTGCGATCTCTGCATCATCCACGAGGTATGTAGTGATGGAGCGCGCCGGAGCCTGCCAGGAGGTGTTCTGCAACACTTCGGAAGCAAAAGTCAAAGAAAATGCGGTTCAAACATGAAAAAAAAGCCTTGTGAAGGTTGGGTCTTTCTTGAGGCCTAAATGCTTGTGCTCAGACAGTTCGTCCGCCCCAAGCACCCCAAAATCCTTTTCTCCAAGTGCCCCCAATGCGTAACTGACTTTTTGAGCAAAAACTGCTTGCAGGGTGAAGGGTCAAGCTACGAGGGCTCAATGAAGCTTGTGTGTTTGCAGCACTCGCACATGCAGAATCTACACACCCAACCATCTCCTGATGCAGAGCGCCTCGGTGCACACAGCACCTGACCCTTGCACCTGGTGATGGGCACACCATGGATTGCATACGCTTCAGGGCAGAGCTTCGGTGTGCAAACATGTGCAAACTCAGTGTCACCGTTGCTTTTGTTCCAAACATGTCTAATGCAGAGCACCGTTGCGCACGCGGACCACCGGCCTTCAGCCAAAACTCGATGTCCTCGGTGCTCTGGTTCATGACCACAACGGCTAGACCTGCGTTGAAGCGGAAGCTGTGAGAATCCAGCATGAGATGTCGCAACAGCAAAGCTGAGCAGATGATTCTTGAGGCCAGTGCTGCCGTCGGGATTGACCCACGATGTGACCTCTCTGAGCGGCTTTGCAGTGCTTCTCTTAGCTACTCTCAGCTAGACACTTGGCAAGCTGTCGAAGGACCCCCCGCAGTGTTTGCCATTGAGCTGCTTGTACAAAGGAGAGTGGTTGGCTAGGCAGGTCTCAGCCGTGATGGGGTGGAGGCTCGGTACAGTGTTTAGGGAAGGTTGGGGTTGCATCGTCCCCTTGCACACTGCCTCCCGCATGCCTCAAGAATAGGAACCTCCAGTCTTTTCCCCATCCAGAAATGAGAAGGGCTCCCTTCACTGAAGACTCATCATTGCTTGGCAACAGCTACTCCTGAAGCGAACAGCATGCCAGACGGCAACGCGAGCTGTTAGACGGTCCCGTCAGTTCATCACACCAGTCGACATATCTTGAAGAGTGCTTCAAAACCCCTGCCTTCCGGCTCCTCCTCTAAATCTAGATCTTCTCAGGAAACCTTTTCCCGTGCCTCAAGGACGTCCCGACTTGCACTGCTCACCGCACGGCATGCACCAGGCTGGATGTAGCGTGAGAAGTGGCCCATGTACCTCAGGAATCTTGGGGGTGCAAGGGCCAGGTCCACTCGCCAGCCTGCAGCTTCCCTGCAAGAAGCATCCCAGAACCTGTTCCCATTGTGACATCCATGACAATGCAGGCACCACCCAAAACCACGCAAGCACGAAGCTCTTAACCTGCGCATGCAGTACAAGACAGGCGCCAAAGTCAACCCACAGGCTGCCGGCCAGTAGGAAGGCTGGCGGAGGATCTCACCCCGGCTCGTGTCGCAAATGATTGGAGCTGAGCCTCAGATGTTTTGGGCGAGGTTGCATCCGAGTTCACCCGGTTCAGGCTTGCAGGGAATGTCTTGCTATCTCAATGTGGATGTTGACACGAAAGGAAGGGGGGGTTCCCCGCATGTCCCCCTAGCCGCATTCCTTTGAAGCCGTCCCAGCAAGTGAGTTACAGTAGAAACTCAAAGCTCATGGAGCTGTCAGCTGTGACTATACTGAAAGCCCTGTCCGCTCGGGGCCCCGGCAAAAGTTCCCCACGTGGTTTGGACCACCTGCCCCGTGAAGGAAAGCGTTTAAGGTTCAGGCTTCGGCTGCGAAGGGGGCTGCACCATCGGGAACAATCGGGTGGCGAACTTGGGGCTTCCCTCAGCCCTCCTCAGCCCTCCTCAGCCCTCCTCAGCCCTCAGCCCCAGTCCTTGCTCATCCAGGCACAGGTTCCAATCTATCCAGCCCTCACAACCTCGGGCTCACAGGGTGTAAGTGCGCAGATGTCAAGAGATCTCATGCACAACAAGCGCCTAACAAGCCCTCGACTCCTTGGACCGAAGCTTCGGTGGGGCCCAGGGGAGGGGAAGGGAGGAGATGCTTGGGAGATGGGGGGAGATGACACTCCTGGTCTGCGCGGACACCACTGCTAAGCTCCGCTCCGTGATTCATGTCATTGATGATGTTCATTCCATACCTGCAAGTTCACGATTGGCATCCCAACAGCCATAACGGCTAGAGCCTAAAGTGGTCAAAGCTGGAGGCATCAGACACCCCGCTTGCGCTGAGAGGGTTGTGGTTTGCGCCCAAAATTTCGTGGACGCCCCATGCGACAGCATCAGACACACCGAGAGGGTTGTCTAAAGCCAGACTTTCGAGAACGCCCCACGCGCCAGCGTGAGAGGGTTGTCGTTTGTGCCGAGAATGTTCGAGGCGCCCAGCTCGCCAGCGCTGTTTTCAGCAGGTGTGGCGGATCCTGCAAACCCTACCCTGTGCTTTACAACATTTCAAAACTACTTAAAACCACGACATCCTTCTCGAGCCATCACGACATCCAGCCATGCATCAACGATAACGACAGCCTTCTCGAAGACCACCTCCGCTGAAAAACCCTTCGCTCGAATTCGGGAAAACAAACATGCATATTCATCAAACCTGACCAGAAATTGCAGGCCACTACAAGGCACCCCCATGTGCCTCTCACCGATTTTCCAAACCTGAGCTCTGGAATCAGAACAGATTACCACGTGTTTCATGCTGAGCAAGAGCCGGGCCAAAGAACCCAAAAAACTAGCAGAGTCCTTCTCATGCACTTCTCTTCTCATCATTGGCATGCTAACAGACAGGCCATTGAGCAGGCAACATAGCTACGTAACACCCTGCATCCAACACAGCTCTGTCAAACACAGCGGCCCCAGATGTGACAAAATCAGGAAATTGGAAGGGAAAGACAACAAATGATGTTAATCACAAGTCAGCCCCACACAAATGCGCGCACGCACGCACGCACGCACGCACGCACGCACACACACACACACACACACACACACACACACACACACACACACACACACACACACACACACACACACACACACACACACACACACACACACACACACACACACACACGCGCGCGCGCGCAGAGACACACCTTCCACAGGTTGCCAGGTTACGATGCCCACGTCGTGTAGCTTCATCACACACACCCATCCCCCCTCCGGCCCTATCGTCCGCCCAAAAAGCAGAGGTCATCAAGCAGACTCCAAACCGACTCCGGCAATCGGCGGCAGTGCCAAATCGGCAAATACTTCAAACCGGCCCCGGGCGTCTTGTTCATCGCTGAAAATAAACTTGCCACACACAACACAGGCACTCGCGAAAAAGCAGTCACTAGCATCTTCGAGCCCCTGGCTCCAAGCATATCATCCAAGCTGCGGTTGGAGAGCTCCTGACCACCATACTCTGCTGCATCCGACAACTTGAGAGGATCGTTTTTCATATCCCGTTTTATCGTGATGTTGCTTGTGGGAGGTCTGTAAGGCATACACATCCCTGCAAATCCAGGGCCACATGAAGCCCCAGCTTCAAAGTCCAGACTGCCCCCAGTCAAGAATGGAGTTACAGGACCCTGTTTTGACCATCCCTTGGAAACTTCAACGACTTAAGGATTGGCTTCCTGGCAGCCTTCTGTGAAGATGATGTGCTTGTCCGGCCGCAGCCTTGACTTGACATGCTACACGGGCGGTGCACCTGCACGCGCCACAGCCTCATGCCAAGTATGCTTGAAGCTGACATTTGCTGGCCGTGCTGTATTCCTGCGCGCGGGAACTGTCGAGAAAGTGCACAAAGTCGACGGCTACGTCCACGAACTTTCACGGTACCAAGAATTTCGTGTATGGCGTTAAGCCTGCCGTGGACAAAGTGGAACGAGTGGAACGAGTGGAACAAGTGGAACAAGTGGAACAACATCGAGATGGACGGAAGCTCAGGCAACTCCAGGGAGCCGGCTCGGCCAAGCGGCGGACATTCTCAAAACCCAGCCTGTCTGAGAAAGAGGAAATTCATGAAAAATTGGCACAGCTCGCACAGTTCGCACAGTTCGCACAGTTCGCACAGTTGTCAAAGTGGCGTGGCGGCTATAAATTGTGGCGACTGGCTTGGAGACTTCGACTGCGGCCTGGCTTTGAGCTCTTGGACGGAGCCACCGCGCTTGCGGTCCTCAAGGGCGCTCGCACTCAAAAACGCCACGTGCAGGGCATTGCTCCTTCCAGGCCTCGTAAACAACATCGTGGCATTCTGGCCAGGTCTCGTAGCGTGCATCGCCGTACCTAGACGACACTCTCACCATCCTTACACAGGTTTTCGTGACATGCGCTTCAAGTGTGGCGGCGCACCAGTGGTAGCCAACACCCCAGATATACCTGCATCCCGGAGGCCGAGCGGTAGAACATTGCGCTCTGTAGCTCTGTAGTTCAGAGTTTTCAGATTCATTTCGCACACTCACGACTGAAAACCCAGGAATAGAGGCAAATAGCTTCTCGCCTAGCAGCTAGCGGCCAGCCGAGAGCAAAGATGCATTTACAAAGGAGTTTTCGCCCCAAACCCTGTCCCAAACACCCAAGCCGCTGGCTTCGAGGCCAGGTCATCTGCGTAGGCCACGGCTGCTCGCTCCAGCCTTGCCATGGCTGTCACTGTGAGGAAAAAAATCCCCCAAAACACACAAAAAAACTCTCTTTCGTTCTTTAGCTCCCATCACACTCGAGTACTCAAGTACACACTTACCCGAAACACTGAGGCCCGGGCATGCCGTCGCCTGGCACGTCTTTACACACACACACAGAGACACAGAGAGAGAGAGAGAGAGACACGCAGAGATCCGAAGGTTGAGGGTTAACTCTGCACACCGCGACCCCAACCCCAACCCCGGAAGCCTGAACAGCCAGGTCTAGAACATGCTGCCCAAACATGCCCAAACCACAAAAATCCTGAACCCCACTGAAGGGTTCGAGGGTTCAGGGCTTCGAGGGCGGGAGGGCAAAGGGCAGCTCAAGCTCACAAGTCGGGCTCCAAGGTTTACGGGTTTGAGAGCTTAGGCTTGAGTTGCCTTACAGTCAGGGACTCAAAGTGGGGCCTAAGAGAAGCTACGGGTCCCCAGAGCCTGGTCACATCCACTGGTGCCCTAAGATGAGCACATGCTGTGACTTTACCATCTATTCTTCGTCCATGGCGTTCACAAGTTTAGAACGCCGGAGAGAGAGTGAGGAGAGCTCTGCTTGCAAAATGCCTGTACCAGGTGTTGAACTGCCAACTTTGATCCTTCCCGGGTTGGTTCGGTGGCCTGGCGAACCTGCAGAAAGCACAAAGATCACAAAGCACAACGCGAAAGCTCAATCCGGCGCCGAAGGGGCGGTTGTGATCCCAGATGATGATCTTCACCCTGCCGAGATCAGCAGCCTGCCGAATCTCGATGTTTGCAAAGACTTTTGTCGGGCCTCAAGGGCTGATTTTTGGACTTGGCCCTAAATCAGCTGTTGCCCTTAAGGGTTTCAAGAGGGTGTAGAAGTTTAGGGAGGGTTTGAGGGAGTTTGGGACAGTTTGGGAGAGAAACTGCCCTTTACTTCCACAGGCACATCAACTTCGGGGGGGAGAAATCCGCGGACAGAAGCCACCCCCCCCCCGTCCTCAAGGGCAGGACCCAAGTGGTCTCGCACGAAGTCCCTCTCTTCCTGGCAGCATGAGTTGCGTCATTGTGCTCGTGAGAAGTGAGAAGTGGCATGCGCCTGTTCTCGGGGCTTCTGCTTGCGAGTCTAAAGTGGGGGGAGCGCTGATTCTTGTAAAAGAAGGAAGAGTGGCTCGGAGAAAGGTTCGAAGAATTTACTTTCTGGTGGGTCGAACGTAAGTCTGCAAGTCTGCAAAGGCATGACAGATGCCCCAGCAAGGCCCCCTTCATCAGCGATCCCAAAGCTTACATACTCTCACAGTCGTGTCTACCGTCTAGTGACTAGTGCCCTCCTTGGGGTCACGGGAAAATCCTGCACTTGAGAATAGCGCCGACGTTGGGGCCTCCGCCGTGTAAATACACGACTCCCAGATCTGAGCTGCCTCTGGCTCGTTTTGCACCTGAGCGATGTGTTGTGATAAGTTATGATGTGAGCTTTCTAGGATCCTCTGGAAGACTGCGCGGTCGAGAATACCCACTTGCTAGCTGCCACACAGTGATCACTCAGATCCCTCAGAATCTCTGAGATGTTTCTGAGCAGCACATGGGTAACACCCGGAAGGTCTGACGGTACTGTGAAGCTCAGGTCTGAGCGGAGACCGCCCAGATAGGGACATCCAGCTTCTCCATCTCCTCTGATGTTCCCGTCTCGCGACGGAAATCTAGGAATCTCGTCCCTGCTGGGCTTGGACTCCCAGAAACTCACATCGCCAGGACATGGCCCAAACGGCTGGGGGCTTGGAAAGTTTGGGGATCTTGGGGTTTGGGGGTTTGGGGGGTTTGGGGGGCTTGGAAAGTTTGGGGGGGGGGGTTTGGGGGGGGGGTTTGGGGGTTTGGGGGTTTGGGGGGTTTGGGGGGGGGGTTTGGGGGGGGGGGTTTGGGGGTTTGGGGGTGGGGGGTTTGGGGGGTTGGGGGGGTTTGGGGGGTTTGGGGGGTTTTGGGGGGTTTGGGGGGTTTGGGGGGTTTGGGGGGTTTGGGGGGTTTGGGGGGTTTGGGGGGTTTGGGGGGTTTGGGGGGTTTGGGTTGCGTTTCATCTGCTCCTGGACGAAGCGCACGAAGTGGTAGGCCCAAGCCGCATAGCCTTGTGGCGTCTCGCGACTGTGAACTCACTACGCGCATAGACATCTGCGATCATGATGCTGATGACCCATGAAGCCAAGCGAGTCGGACATTCTGCGTTGCAACAGAAGTAGAAGGCTCCAAGGCACGAAACGAAAACTGGACTCTACGATGCGGAGTCTACATCAGGATCAGAGCAGTCTTGCATCTTCTACATGAAGGCATGAAAAAAACTCGTTCTCGACGGCCTGAAATCCCAAGAATGACTCCAAACTGGAATGCTCGGCCCTGCACACTCTCTTTTCAAGTGCCCGTCGCCATGGAACTCCATCTTCGTCCTGAGTCAGTGATATTTCCCTTTTGAAAGGGGCTCCTCCGCACCGGTAGACATTTGCGACTGTCCATGTCCGAGCTGTCCGAGCAGCTTCATCCACATCGGCGGGCTCCAGGGGCTGGCAAGCATCGCCAGCGGCGCGCCAGCGAGCTGTTCAGAGCAAAACTCAGACACTACTCACTACTCAATACGAGTCGGCACTGCATCACATTGAATCACACTGAATGAATCATTGAGTTACCTTTTGAATCATTCCTACTGATCTCACATCTCAGCAGAGCCCACCTTCGCAGCGTCGTGGATGGTTGGCAAGATGCTTGTCTGGCATGTCAGGTTCGACGCAAAGGGCATAGGATCGCTGAAACATGCTGAGACTTCCAGTTTCCAAAACCCCTCCCCAAGTTGGAAGCTGCTTGAGAAAGTCCTGAAAGCCGGCCTTGTAGTGATCCAGGCTGAACCCGTTCAACTCCGCATCACCCTCTGGAAGATCCCCACAGGTCCTTCCGAGCTCTGCGTGAAACTTTGTGCTTGTGAATTGAAGCCTCCCCGGCAGACGAAGCGTTGGGGACCACCTGCTTGTCACGCCTAACTGCGCGGCTTTTCTAGCGCTTGCTGAAGGAGGGCTCGCGCGCGATAGGGCGTGTTCCCCAACATCCAAACCCCACGCGACAAGCGCCCTGAACATCAAGCCCAAACCCAAAGGCCGAACACAAACCTGACTTGCCGAACACCGCCCAGCGGTCCAGTTGCCCAGGGAGAAGTCGCAAGAGCCGATATGTACCCGCCCCAAATTGTAGGCCAAGCCCACCTGTGCAAAAAGCGGACCCCTTGTTAGTGAATGTCTTGCCAAGGTAAGCACCAGCAAATGGGAGTGTACTGAAGAACTACCTTGGCATACACCTCAGCATGGTCATGTTCTCACAAGGCATCCAATTGCACACCCTGCTTTTTTGCGAAGGCCTCGCAGCACTGGATGACAAAGAGCGAGGAAGGGAGACGCCGGAAGCACAAGCAGAGACGTCACCGGAAATCCACAGGGCCAGCGGACTGCTGCCATCGTTGGTTCAACTCGCAAACAGAAGTCAAACAACTTGCCAAGGGGATAGACAAAGGAGAAACAACTTGATTGTGTTGCCTGACCATTGCGCTCATGACATTCTAATCAATGATTTCGGCCCCTATACTAGCTACACACAGAGAAATCATGATGTCCAGTGCGAGACCGACGTCTTTGAAATGCCAACCCGCTGCTGCCTCTTGGTCATAGCAGGCACGGAGCACCTCGATACACCCCCCGGTCACGGACTGCTAATAGGGATATATATATATATATATGAATATATATATATATATATATACATACATACATATATATGTATGGATTTGCAGGCCAGGGACACACCTTGAGAATTGACTCGGGATCGTTTTGGGTCGGCCCACGTTAAGCTCAACTCCAGCGTTCCACTAGGGACAGGTAAACAGCCGAGACCCAAGCCTCCATGCGTTGTTCTGGACTCATTCTCCGCAGGGTTTCCGTCGAAGCCTCGGTCCCCAAGAACCCCCACGCAGCCGAGCATCCAAGTCATGGCACAAGCATACGATATGCGCTCAAGATAACTTCAATTCGGCTCATCTCGTCGTTGGGCCTTGAGGACTGAAAATGTATTCTTTTGGGCTGACGGATAGAAATGATAGAGACCAGCACTCCAAGCTGTGCCAAGCAGCTTCCGTGAAGCTTCCGCCGAAACCCAGCCATGGTCTAGGCCGAGACCATGGGTTGAGAACTCCCGAATAGACATGACGACAGCACCGACGGAACCCACGAGCCTGGAAGCTCAAAATAGACACGCGCGCACACGCACACGCACAGAGAGGTCACACGAGACATCCCGACACGCGTCTCAATACGCAACGAATCCCAGCACCCCAGCCCGGCCTGGGCACTGCCTGGTCGGGGGCCACGAAGATGCCAGCGGCCTGACTGTGATGGCCTTATGGCCTTTCCTTTTGTTCTGAATCCGAGCCAAACACAGATTCTACAGATCTCAAGAGAGAGGAGTCTAAGCCCCAGGAAGCAGGTTTCACATCCAAGTCCGGTCTTCAAGCTGTGCCTGCGATTGCGTTGGGCATTGCGGTGCCTGTTCCTCGAAACAGGCTCCCGGCTCTGCAAGACTGCTTTCCTGTACCATACTATTCCATACTTTACATGTGTCATCTGCACCTAGACAAACGGCCTCCCCAACAGCACCACATGCCTGCGCTCCACCGGACTGATCGATGCCAAGGGCAACCTCCTGGATCCTCCCGGCTTTCAAAAAGCGCAAAACTGATCAAGTACTAACTGTTCAAATACTCAAAGCTTGTCACCGGCTTGAACCAACACCCCAGTCTTGAAATGTGCCTGTGTGCGAATGTGCTGTTCTCAAAGAAAGGTTCGCTTCGCAACCATCTGGCCATTTCACGCGGTCTGTCTTTTGTGCTCGTGCCTGGCTCACAGCATCCATTTCTAAGCAGCTTGTTAGTTTACGGTCTGCAGTCGTTTCCTGATCCAGCCCTTCGTGTCACCATCCTTGGTGCGAATCACGGTCACCTGCCAGCGGCGGTGCTGGTCCACAATCAAGCAATTAAAATTTCGCAGATCTAACTTGCATAGCAGGTTCCTTTCTGAAGCCCAACATCAACCGTACCTTACTCGTCATAGCATTAACTGGATCTGCTTACATTGTTGAACGCTCTCACAACTCAGCAGGCACCGAGGCCTGGGTCCTGACACGAATGGAGCAAAGCGCCCTCAACTGAGCTGAACCGCCCACTTCACGACCAACTTCAAACGCCGAACCCAATGCGAAGACCTGGCAACACCCCTGCAAATTGACTGCGGTTAGGCCCAAGCTCGGCGATAACGCTGGGGCGCTGGGGCCTCACTGAAGCTATGTCAGTGTATGTCAACCATGAACTTCTTTGACTCAACAATCAAGCCGCCAACTTCGACAAGCGAACTTGGCACAAGTTTGGCAGACGACTGACATGTTTTCAGCGAATGGAGATTCGTGTATGGGCATTCAGGGAACTTGTGCATTTATGCGGGGACATGTGGCGACGGAAACTAAATTGAAAGATGGCAAGGCAATCTCGAATCTTTCCTGACAAAACCAGCAATCGCCAGGCACTCCGAATGCCGCGGTTATCCATGATGGGAACTGCAATTGGGGGCCCGATCCTTCAAAGTTGCCTCACTGGCTCCCATGGCAGCTACGGTCACAAACCACCGATTGTGCAGCACTTGTGCCGGGTGCTTCTAGTTGCTCCACCTGGTATTCCAAAAAACGATGCGGCACTGCCTTTTTCATTGTGGTTTGCAGAACATGCGCCCTCTTTTATCTCTTTTGCATTATGCTTCCGAGCCACACTTTGCACCACAACTGCATGCCAAATGCAAACATGCAGTCGCTATGACTGCGGAAGCTTTTCATCCAAGCGGGGGTGAGATCGCTTGAATGTTCTTCGCTTGGGAGCGTGATTCGGGCGCGGAATTGAATAGGGATTTGTTTATGGGATTTTTTTTCAGTCTGCTTTCGTCCGAAAAACACAGTTTATGTGCTGAGCTAAACAACGATCTGTTTTCATACGAAAAAAACCATGGTTGTGGTGCGTTCTTCGTATGAAAAAACTATGGTTTTGGTGTGTTCTCATACGAAAAACCACAATTTTTGTGCTGCGAGAAAAAACAATAGTTTTGGTGCGCTTTCAACAAAAGCAATGGTTTTGGTTGTTTTCATATGACAAACCACATTTTCTGTGCTGTGCTGAGCAACACATCGCGTTCTGGCCGTAACCCCGTGCATACGAAAAAACATAGCTTTGGTGCGTTTTTGTACGAAAATCAAAATATTTGTGTTGGTGTGTTTTCATACGAAAAACCAACAGTTTTTGCACTGCGCAGAGCTACACATCGAGCTGTTGACATACGAATAGCATAGCCCAACGCTTGAACCTGAACACGCTGGGACCTTAGGGTTTAACGCGGGGGGGGGGGGGGGGGGGGGGGGGGGTTGGGGGGGGGCGGCAGCCCCCACACATTTGCAAACACAATGCTCGCATCAGAGGTTTCGACTGGCTGCGTATGCTCTGAGTTTTTTAAAGCAGACGCCCCTTTACCACATCAGCAGCACAGTGGGCCGGTCTATAGAGCTAACTAAGCGAAGAACATCACCACCAACGAAAACGAGGAAAGCAAACAAACTGGAGCTCAAACTAAGGTGAAACGTTTCCCACTCTCAGCACACGAGGAGGTCGAAGTAGACCCTGTCGGTTTGGACTCGTGCAGTGCAGGGAGAGCTGCAAAATGCAGACGTAGCGCCAGAAGCAAAACCACCATCCATTCCACCATCCATTCCAGAAGGGTCGAGGATCTGCGAAGATGGCCTCAGCCGGGACAGTGACCTTGCGTCTAAGGGCAGAACCCGTTACTCCCATGCGTGTTTGGCCACGTTCGGCATAATGTTCTGACAGCCGTAGAGGCGGGACGCTGTTGGAGAGGTGTCAGACCCTACCTCCTCTTTAACAAGGAGAAAGGGTTGATCTACAGACCAATTTGACCTCTCTCATGGTCTGCGTAGACACAATGCAGCCATCACGAAGATGTTCCACAAAGTGCTTGGACGGTGTTCTGGCAAACAAGGCGTCATAGGTGCCCAGACATGAACATGAAGTCAACCAGGCACTGAAAGCCTTGTCATCGAGAGCGCTAATTCGATCTTGCGACAGCGCACCAATACCTGACGCCGAAGCATTGCTGTGAAAACACAGCAGCAGCGCGCTGAACCCTCTTTTTCTCACGACTTGAGCCAAAGTCATAAGCCGGAGGCTTTGTCAGTGAAACTCTTTACACACAGGTGAAAACTCTGCTCTGCCACGTGTTCTCCACAACCACATAACAAACTCAAACGTCAGTGGGAGTTCTCGGGACCTACCCAACTACACCTAAAGCAAGCAAAAACGTGCACAGTCACTCCTACAGCTTCAAGACACACATCCCTACAACTCAAGCACTTCAAAAGGCTTTCCCACTTGAAAGCAGCACTCCCGTCGAGCCTCCAAGGCACACGCAGGACAACAAAGTTAACATGTCTTTAGACAGGAACTTTCTCACCAAGCGCGCGGGGGCGTGAGCGAAGCTCAGTCAAACATGTCAATTTAATTACGCATGCAGGTTGGTGTGAAACGCCCTAGTCAACTGAAAGCCTATCACCCTACCCACAGGCAGGGACTACCTCCTACCTCCTCTACCCTACGGGTCTCTCAAACTCACCATCCCAGGCCTTCGAGCCGGGCCCATGCTTGTTTCAGCCGGGACCCTGACCTACTGGCCGGGAGCGGGTGGCTTGTACCCCGAGCCCTTAGGCTGGGAGGTCGGGGTATGTCACGAAGAGTTCCTCGGCTTTGGATCTGTAGAGGCCAGATCTAGCAAGGCACTCCGCCTTCAAGGCCTCTGGATCCGTCCAATGCTGGAGATACAGGCGAGAATGGGCATAGAAGCTGTGCTTCAACTCCCTCTCCAACAATTTCCAGACATTGTCCAGATTCAGACAGGAACTTTCTCACCAAGCGCGCGAGGCGTGAGCAGAGCTCAGTCAACATGTCAAACACCATGCAAGCCGGAGGCGAGACGGACGTGGCACCGGTTCCGGTCGGAAGCTGTTGCCCGTAGGCTAGACCTACTGTACCTACGGCTCCTCCACTAACTGCTACACCCTAAGGCAGGGGCTGGCCAGTGGGCTCTCAGGGGCTATCGAGGCAGCTCACCCTGATGTAGAAACCGGGACGCCATACCCAGGGGCAGGGACTGTGAAGAATGTGAGGTTTTCCAGATGTACCCACGCCTACTGGCAGGGAAATGACCCCGTCCTGAGTGGCGGTACTCTCCAACCTTGCAGGGCTTTTGGTTCCCCCAAGCACCCTTTTAACTGCGCAGCCATCCAGGATTTTTGGTTTACCCTCAACCTTCGTGCTGGGGCTTTGAACGCCCCTAGCCTTCGGACGGAACTGCACAGCATCAAGGGTTTTGGTTGACCCTCAACCCTGCACTCCGCCGACGCTATCACCCTCCATGGCTCATGGCTCAAGCTCAGGTTCAGCTGTCAGAGCCGGTACTATAGACCCAAGCCCGCCAGCCCGGGATATGGGGGCAAACTCGGCAGATGAACTTGCAGGCTAATTATAGCACCCTTAAGGCGAGACGCGTCATCCACAGCTGCTCCTCTCCACCTTGGCGCCCACCTTAACCTAGCAGCCACTGCGGCTAGCTAGGGAGGCTTTTCTGTTCTTCACTGGTCCACCAGTGCCCTAAGGCACGGCTCACCCCGAACATGAGTCCCGGCACCTGACTACGGCTGCAGATTGGCTCACCTATCCTCTATACAAGCTAAGCGACGGGTGGCCCCGGCGTTCTCGCTCTTACTAACCGGGACCAAACATCCATGCCGGAGCCAGCGCTGAACATTCCTTACCCAGCCGCCTAGCACGGAGCAGACGCAGCCATAAAATTGGACTGCGGCAGATAATCCACAGGTGTTCTCGCTCTTACTAACCTGCCATCTTACCGACTACACCACCAGCAAGGTGGCACTATACAAGAGGGCAGCAGAGAGAGCTCTGCCAGTCCTTCCCTCTCAAAATTTTGACCTTAACGTGCTGGACAAGCTCCAGACAGCACGCTGGGACAGCAAAACTACTAATCCCACCCTGGCCTCTAGGCCGGGTAGTTCTCCCAACAAGCACTGCATGACCTAACCCTAGTTGGGGAGAGGAGTCCAACCCTAGCCCTATATCCCGAAGGGGAGTGGGTTAGGGTATCAACGACTCGCTCTCCTGTTTTCAGCGGTGCTGCTCTGGGCGAAAGAGTGAAATGCTTCGTGGGAAAGGCTGGGCAAGATCCCACGAGCATGTAAGGCCATCAAACCCCCTGTTGAGGTGAGATGAAGTCCCGAGGCGGGACTGAGGCTACTCCACTTTGGGAGGCAAATGGGCATTTCTGAAAAGGCTACTCCACTTTGGGAGGCGGGATCCGGCCGGATCCAGGCTTTGGTCGTTATGCTTTGAGTGCGCAAGGGCAGTGGTGGGTGGGCGAAAAGCAGAAGGCCCCACCTAGGGGTTAGGTCAAGGCCAGCTGAGAGCCGGAGATGCTCCAGCTGTGCAAGGCTTGTTTAGGCGTATGGCAAATTACGGTGCATGATTCACTCGTGGGAAAACACACGGGAACCAAAAAACCCGAAGCGTTCTCCCAACAAGCACTGCATGACCTCACCCTAGTTGGGGAGAGGAGTCCAACCCTCGCCCTATATCCCGAAGGGGAGTGGGTTAGGGTATCAACGACTCGCTCTCCTGTTTTCAGCGGTGCTGCTCTGGGCGAAAGAGTGAAATGCTTCGTGGGAAAGGCTGGGCAAGATCCCACGAGCATGTAAGGCCATCAAACCCCCACTTCAGGGGCCCAGGGCAGACCGGTGAATGCATTAGGCCTCTCTACCCCCACCGCGGGCGGTCTGGCTGGTGCCCGGGGCACTAGGCTGTATGTGCTGAGACCTGCACGAGGCCAGTGCTCCAGTTGGCGTCCGAGGGCCATAGGCTGACCTCGTGTTCCGACCGAGCCAGGTCGTGCAGATGGACGTGGAATCTATGGGATTTGGTCGTGCTTGCGAACTTCTGTAGGCGGTTTCGGCTGAGGTCGTCCGCGTCCGTGTTTTTGACGCCCGGAATATGCCCGACTTCTAGGCTCAGACCCTTGGCGTGAGCCCAGGAGGCTACCTTCTGCAGGAAGAGGCAGAGCAGAAAGGCTGTGGTAAACAGCTTATTGACTGAAGCTTGTGTGGGGCTGTTGTCGCTGAGAGTGGGCAGGCAGAAACGGAGGCTGGAGCAACCGGTGGCCGCGTATGCCATTTGTAATAGAACCCACTGGGCAATTGTTTCGAAGCAGGCTATATATTGCTGGGCATCCTTCGTGAGGAAAGGCCAGTGGGCGCGAAGCTCTGCTATGGACCACTGTTGTGCGAACCAGAAGGTCTGGCTTGATGTGGACAACCAACCCCCGATCCCAACTTGAGTGCCGTCCGCCATGGCGTCTGCGGCCGAGAGGCATGGCAGCAGGGGCGGCTGAGCTAGTGGCATGCGGAATTCGTGGGTGAAGCACTGGGCCAGCCAGTGCAGAGCGGCTTTGCTGTCATTGCGTAGAGTGATTTCCTGTGCGTTTGG